ATCCAGGAATTTTACCAGGAGAGGGTTTGGGGTGGAAACAATGTTTGACGTGGTGCATGGGGGATTACTCGAGAATTTGATAAAATCGGAATCTCTGAAATCTGATTAAAACACAGATCCTATTTCGTTTCGTTTTTATAGTTAACAATTTCGTTTTACTTGTCTTGACTACACTATGATCTGGCAGAATTGTTATATAAAAGGCGTTCTACTTGATGTGAGGAATTAGCCAATGAAACGGTCTGTTACGGCGAGTTCTTGGCCTTTTTATGCACGGAACTGTGGGTAAACCACTAGAAACGTCAACGCTGATTGATTAATCAATGTCTGGCGTCATAGGGTCAGATGCCGCTCGTGTAGGCCATCGAAAGTATAAAAAACGAAACGAAATATAGATCTGTGTTTTAATCAGATTGGAAGCCCTGAAACAATATTACTTCTCATACATGATAGACCAATACGGGACAATGCTTTGCATGTTTGATTTGTTTGAAGTTATTTTCTTGAATGTAGGAGACAAAAAAAATAAGCAGGTTGGGGGGGGGGGCTTGCATGTGACAAGGGGTATGGTCGCTTGTCCAGTCTCGTTGTTTTCTCCGGGTCTTCCGGTTTCCTCCCACTGATAATAAATTGAACCATATGGTAGTTCCTAAATGATCTGGTTTGTGTCGAGTAGAGGTCAAACCTCTCTCTCTCGAAGGGGGTCGATCCCGGTTTTGGCCGGGAAAGTTCATCGGGATTTCCTTTTGTCAGTGGTGCAGGACGGAGGGAGTGAAGAGGACAGCTGTCTAGTCGTTCGGATGGGACAAAAACCGAGGTCCCATGTACACAATGGCGTGCACGTAAAGATCCCTTTGCAGTTGGAATTCGATGTAAGAGTAGGCCGTAGCGCCGCTGTCCGGGAAACATTTCCCTCATAACACACTGTACGGCGTATGGCCGTCTTCAGTAGCCCAGTTCGGAGCAGAACAGTAGGACGTTAAACCCCCTTTCATGGGGTCTTTTCGCTTATTCTAACCCTTCGAATTCCAACTACCAAGGGATATTTTACAGGCACGCCACGATGGACCTCGATTTTTTGTCCCAGCCGAACTGCTAGTCAAACATTTCTTGTTAGTCCAACGGGTACCACTGGTATATAGTAATCGACAGCCTGGTTCCCTTCAGCTCGACCCATCGGCTCCCCCACCCCCACCCCTTTCTCCTCCCCCACCCCACTATAGCAAGGAGATAAATTAGGATCAACCATAGCAAAGATATTTATGTTAAAATTGTATTTTAACCATTTCTATCAAATATGTCGAATTGGTGGATACATTGTCATTTAAAATTACTAGATAGCTATTACGAATCAAGATGCCTTACTAGAAACATTTTAGCTTGGTCGTGTCACGTAAAACGAATAAAATTCATTAGACTACATTGAAACCATGGCAATTAATCTTAGAATCCAAACAGCTATTTATAGAACTCGTGTTCTATTTCTGTACATACTGAATTGCAATCAGATCAGAAAAAGCGAGAAAATAAAATATCCCAGCCAGTTCATCGCCTAGTTTTGATTAATTTTGGGCTCGGGTTATTCCGGTAAGATTACGGTTATAACATACTGCTGTTGTCTCTAGGTGCGTTCACGGCTAAATCTATTTGTTAAGGCCAGTTCAATTTTTGTCAAAGTCGCTGAGATGTAAATAAGGTTAGGGCACGTGATTGTTGTTGCGGGATTGTTGGTTAAGGGTAAGCATTGGGACTAGGTCTAGGGTTAGGGTTGGGGTTGGGATTAGCGCTAGACCTGTTTACATCTCGTGACCTATGACAAAAAATTGAGCTGGCCTTATCATTTAGCACTAACCGTGCGGTTCACATCGGGGGTTTAATCTGAATTGAACTCAGAATAAGTCTTATTTCGGATTTAGGTGTCACACTCAATTCGCTAAAATCCGAACTGAATCTGAAATAACGAGTCGGTATATCTTTCCGAATTCAATCTGGAACAACTATTCCGAATCGGGTTATTCGCAGTAAAAATTCGAGTGTGGTGTGTTTGACTCAGATCGACGGGTTTATCGAAGCGACTAACTTTGCGCGCATGTTCAGTCCTACTTCCGTTTTATCGCTTGGAGGGAAACCTGGGTCCTGTTTCTCGAAATCTTAACTAAAGATAAAATCCAAATTTTAGTGGATACTTCAATTTTAATTGGCTAAGCACAAAAATCAATTCCGATATTATCCAATCAAATGACTAAAATTTGGATTTTTATCTTAGTTAAAATTTTGTGAAACAGGCCCCTGTGTATTTTCCGGCTCAATATTCTGAAAATAAATAAAAAATAATATTGCAAACACAAATCAGTTGGGGTAAAGCCTACATAGCCGTAACCCTACCTCACTGAAACATACTGCGTTAATATAACCAGTTAAAATCCAAATACAAGAATATGGTATGTTCAGATCACGGCTTATCATTTAAGGCCTAGACCCAACGGGCAGGGTATGTCAGCTCCAGGCGTCTTGAGCCTAGTAGAATCTAGTCTTTAGCATGTATTGTATGTAGTGGGGTGAAAATGGCAACAAAATATATTGCTTCAAATTATGCATGTTGAGTGCTGAAAGGATTTTAATTATGAAATGTATCTTGGCTAGTACAGAGTCAAGAGTGAAGTGCATGTACATACTTCAAGATGCATAGCAAACGCGACCAGGAGAGTAATCAAACTCAGTCGCCTTTGATTCTGGTGCAGACGAAATCGTGCCCGAGGCTCAATGGCAAGATGCCGAAGATGCAAGACCGGGCGTCGAAGATATATCCTTGCTTGATTCAAGAAATTAAACACTAGCAATAGAAGATCACGAATACTAATGTCGGGCGCATCCATCTTGGATATGAATGACCTTCACGTCTGCTAGTTATGCGCATTGAGTCTGGCGCGTTTCAATTCGAATAAACTGTAATATGACGCACCGCTCTTAATTCGAGACAAACTAATCCGAATTCCGGAGGCCGGTCTCCGGAATTCGCATTGTATGCGCATGCAGTGTGAACAGGGCCGGCGGAAGCAATTCTTGATTGGGGGGGGGGGGCTTCCATCCTAGGTCCTTATAGGCGTGGGTCCAGGGGCCGCAATAACCTGGGGAAAAGAGTACTTGCGGCGCGAAGATATAGCCTTGCTTGACTCAATAAATTAAACACTAGCAATAGAAGATCACGAATATGAATGACGGGCGCTCCATCTTGGATATGTATGACCTTCACGTCTGCTAGTTATGCGCATTGAGTGTGGCGCGTTTCAACCCGAATAAACTGTAATGTGACGCACCGCTCTTAATTCGAGACAAACTAATCCGAATTCCGGAGGCCGGTCTCCGGAATTCGCTGTGAACGCAACTTCTGTCGCGATCAGATAGAAACAAATGAAATCCAATGAAGTTTAACATCCTACTTTTCTGCACCGACTGGGAAAATGGAGACGGGCATACGCCACGCAGTGGGTTACATGCATAAGGTAAATTTTGTCAGAGAAGTGGCGTTACGCCCTACTCTTATTTCGTATTCCAACTGTCAATGGTTCTTTTACGTGCACACCACACCGCGATCGAACACAGGACCTCTAGGTTAGCGACCCAACGTCTTTGTCACTGAACCACCGCGGTTCCTAAATAGAAAGACAAACAGATGTAATAAGTCTTGGAATGCAGACTATTGATATAACGTGTGGTCTAATTTTATACAAATAGAGAGACTAGAAGATCGAGTCAATCTTGGAATCCAAACTATTGTAAATACTAAGAACGTGTTCCGTTCATCTCTCGTTCCAGTCACTTAACTCTCTCTTAAAATATCCTCTCCATTAAAGCGGGGTTGGATGACCGAGTGATTAACACACGCGCGCTGTATCGTAAAGTCTGTTATTGATACAACTGGGGTGGTTTCGATTCCCCGGTTGTACGTGACAAGGAGTAGGATCGCCTGTCCAATCCCTTGGGTTTTCTCCGGGTCCTCCGGTTTCCTCCTACTGTTAAAGCGAATTATTGAAATAAAATTGAACCATGTTAGTCCCGAAATGATCTAATTTGTGTGGAGTGGACGTTAAACCTCATTTCTCTCCCACCGCTCTCTCTCTCTCTTCTCTCTCTTCCTCTCTCTCTCTCTCCATTCAAACGAGTAGAAAGCTACCAGTCAAATGGTATTGGCTAACATATTGGAATCTTTAAACGAAACCGTTCTTCACGCTCTATGCGCCAACAGCCTACGAATTAGAAAGGGAGAGAAATGGGGTTTAACGTCCACTCGAGGCAAAATAGCAAATTTCGGGACTCACATATGATTCAATTTTTTTTCATAATTCGTTTGCGAATAAGGATCTGTAGCAGTGGGGGAAACCGGGGGACCCGGAGAAAACCCACGAGGTTGGACAGTTGCGTAGGCGTCTTTAGTAGTGTTAGGAAACCGGAGGTCCCGGAGAAGTTGTACAGGTGCGTAGGAGTCTTTAGTAGTGGGAGGAAACAGGAGGATCCGGAGAAAACCCACGAGGTTGTACAGGCGACCCTACGCGTACGAGAGGGGAATCAAAACTACGCCACTTGACTCAATGACAAACTTTTTGATCCAACTCGCACACGAATGTCTTTCTAGAATGGCTCAATAAGTGATCCTATTCTGATTAGTGAATGCTACTGCGCATTAAGACAATTGTTTCATTTCCATCAATTTAGATGATTCAGCTTGAACATTAAGCGCCCACACAAAGCTTTTAAAAAAATTAGATTATACAGTCGTTTGTAGTTTTATGTGGCTAATACTATAAACTCCAATAGAGAGAGAGAGAGAGAGAGAGAGAGAGAGAGAGATGCCTAACGACCACTCGACACAAACTAGGTAACTTCGGGATTAACATATGGTTCAATTTTATTTCAATAACCCTCTCTCTCTCTCTCTCTCTCTCTCTCTCTCTGTGTATATATATATATATATCATGAAATACATTTTATGAATTTTTCAGGCTTCCAAGTCAACACAAAAACCACCACCAAGGAAGCCACGACGTTTCACCAAAAAACACATGTTAACAGAAGAAAAGATTCAAGGTATAGGCCTAGCTCTGTTTGGGGTTGATGTTGTTAGTAGGGTTTTACGTCCACTTCCACAGAGGGGGATATCGCAGATAAGTTCTCTTGTCTTATTTTATTTCTCGTCTTCATTAGGCCAGTCGGTACAGAACGTTAAACATACATTTCTTAGATTAGTATATTCAGCGCATGCGTACGGATCTTTCCTGTGAGAGGAAACCGCAATACCCCTAGTAAACACATCAAAAGCGCCTCTATATCCATGCCAATTACCCTCACCAGGGATCAAAACTACGACAGCAAGCCGTGGGGGGTGACCGATCAGACAGAGCTCGAAGCGCAACACTCTAGACCGTTAGGCCATAACATCCCTTCCCCGGCCTTTGAGAGAGAGAGAAATGGGGTTTAACGTCCACTCGACACAAACTAGGTCATTTCGGGACTAACATATGTTTTTAAATTTTATTTCAATAATTCGCTTGCGCGTAGGGGTCTTTAGCAGTGGGAGGAAACCGGAGGACCCGAAGAAAAACCCACGGGGTTGGACAGGCGACCCTACTCCTTGTCACGTACAACCGGGGATTCGAAACCACGCCAGTTGACTCAATGACAGGCTTTATGATACAGCGCGCACGTGCTAACCATTCGACCCCCCCCCCCCCCGGCCTTTGAAGACGACCGGGGTCCCTTGACGTGTTTTTAATAATCAGCCCGTATACGCGGATGTCCTGTAAATTATCAGTAATTGATTTTGTTTTATTTCAGAATTACATGAAACATTTTCAGTGTTTGATAAAAATGGCGATGGTATGATTACAACAGAAGAACTAGGCACCGTTATGATATCATTAGGGCAGCGACCAACCATTCCTGAATTAAAAACATTTATAAGAAAAGTTGACCATGATCGTAAGATTTAAATTTATAATATAATCTATTTGACCAAGCTTTAGAATCTGTAACGACCTGCGAGGTCGTACTTGAGGGTCATCCCCAGACAATTTTCCCGTTAATCCGGTCCGTGAGTGAAGGCATTAAGAAAGTACACCAATATAGCCTGATATATGTGGCGTTGCGACCGAAATCCTATTCTGAATTCCACAATTTTGGGGAGACCGGGTCGGTCACCAGCTCAAAGAAATCCTGTTTAGATTCCCGGGAGCAGCGAGCGTTGAAGTCGGAGAACGCACCGTCGGGGGGAGGTGGTGGGGGGGGGGGGGGTGTAAACAGGATTATTTTCGATTTGGATATTTATTTACTTATCAAGAACGAAAAACGGAAAACTAAATTGGTTTGACCCTATCTTTGAGAGAGAGAGAGAGAAGGTGGAGAGCGAGAGAGAGAGAGAGAGAGGGGGGGGGGGGAACGTCCACTTGACACAAACCAGGTCATTTATGGACTACCATATGGTTCAATTTATGTCAGTGGGCGGTAAACGGAAGACCCGGAAAAAAGCAACGAGTTTGGACATGCGACCCTACCCCTTGTCATATGCAAGCCCCCAACCTGCTTATTTTTTTGTCTCCTACATTCAAGAAAATAACTTCAAACAAATCAAACATGCAAAGCATTGCCCCGTATTGGTATATTGTTTCATAGCTTCCGATTTTATAAAATTCTCGATTAATCCCCATGCACTACATCAACTAAACACAGACTAGAGAGATGTGATGTAACGTCTACAAGACACAAACTAGATCATTTCGGGACTATCATATAGTTTAATTTTATTTCAATAATTCGCTTGTGCGTAGGGGTCTTTAGCAGTGGGGGAAAACCGAGGACCCTTCTCCTTAGACAGGCGACCCTACTCCTTGTCACGTTCAAGCGGGGAATCGAAACCACGCCACGCGTTAAACCACTAAACTACCCAACCCCCTATCTTTGAGAGCTTATAGCGTGGCTTCCCCTTGCCAATGATGCAGGACGGACGGCCCGACAAGGACAGCTGTCTAGTCGTTCGGATGGGACAAAAAACCGAGGTCCCGTGTACCAGGGCGTGCACTTAAAAGATCCCTTGGCAGTTGGAATTCGATATAAGAGTAGGCGATAGTGCCGCTGCCCGGGCAAAATTTCCCTCATAGCACACTGTATGGCGTATGCCCGTCTTCATTAGTCCAGTTTAGGAGCAGAACAGTAGGACGTTAAACCCCATTTCATTTCATTTATATAAATAATCTATTTTGTGATATTTTAGGAAGTGGTACCATAGATTTTGACGAATTTGTCCAAATCTTTTCCAAGAAAGTTACAATGGATCCAGAGAAAGAATTGTATGAAGTGTTTCGAGTTTTCGACGACAATAAAGATGGCTTTATCAGCCCTACAGAATTATATAATGTATTGAAAAAACTCGGCGAAAAAATTTCAATGGCAAGTATTTAAATTTGAATACATTTAACTACCTCACACACGGCAATGACCTAGGTTCGCGCTTACTACGCGCAAAAATTCTATAGCGCATGGTGAAGTCGCGGTTAAATGTGGATAAGACCAATGGTCAAGGTAACAATGTTCTCTGTACGCGCTGTGTTGCAGACATTTTCACCATTTCCCACGTTTTTACTAACCGTATACCACGCCCCATACGTCCTCGTTGTGTTACGCTCCTTTCACGTCTGGACGACGTTCATCCCCGTCCCCAAGGCGCTCAACCACGTTGCCACTACTGTATAGAAGACCACATAGGGCTAGCAAGACGCGCCTACCACGTCATTGCTACATTGTTACAACGACCTCACCTCCATCGGCGGTTGTTTGGTATATATATGAGGTATTGATCCTCATCCATTAAAAAAACTAAAAAAAATCCATTCACATATTGACCATGAAACCACTAAGATCTAAAATATCCGTCAGATCGTGTCTGTGAGCCACATCGGTGTCCCGATATTTTTGTGGACGTAGTAAGAGCGTGGTGGGGTCATGGTAGGAATGCGAAGAGCGGGATAGGTCACGACCTCACTACGCAGGTTTGGAAAAGCGAGCTCGTTATACCACGTCAGACGAGGGTGGCGTCCTTACTGCGGCGCTACTGCGACGGAAAATGGCCGCAGAGCGCGTCAAGATCGCCAAAAGCGCAGTAAAAGCGTGGTGGAAACGCCACATATCGTGCTGTGGTCTCCATGGTCGTGAATGATCGCCGAGTCACCGCGTTTGTTTTAAGCATGTTCAAAAAAACGCCAAGGCTCTGCGATCTAACCTGGAAAGTTGTAATGCCCCCGTCAGATCGGGTGGCGTCCTTACTGCGCTGCAGCGACCGTACGGCTACCAGAAAATGCACAAGGTCGACGGCAAACGTGAACACAACGTACGAAAATGTCCCAAAATATTACAAACTTGAACAAAAAAATTGCGTTTTCACATTCTTCCAGGGCAGATCGCAGAACCTTGACTTTTGTTTTGAACATGCTCGAAACAAACGCCGTGACTCGGCGATCATTTTCGACCATCGAGACCACAGCACGATATCTGGCGTTTCCGCCACGCTTTTACCACGCTTATAACGCCACCCCGGTCTGACGGGGTAAAGAACGCGACTTCTTTCAAGTTTTTAAATTTTTGGGACATTTCCCCGCGTTGTGTTTACGTTTGCCGGCGACCTTGTGCATTTTTGTAATCGCTGTACGGTCGCGCAGCGCAGTAAGGACGCCACCTGGTCTGACAGGGGCATTACTGAAAAGAGCGTAATGAAAGCACTGAGAACGTAGTGGACGCGTGCTGAGAGCTGCGATGTCGCAGAGCCAGCGTATGGCACGCTTCAATGAGCGTGGCTCGATCGGCAAGAAATTTATCTCGCGCAATCACGCTTTTGCCACGACGTCGCCACGCGCACACAACGCTCAGCGCGCCCCAATCAAGTTGTACGCCACGTTCTATAGACTTTTTGTGTCTGATGAGCGCGCAGGACTTTGTTGTGTGGGAAGAGGGCTTTAGGCACTGTTAAAAATATTTTGGTTATTTTACCCTAAAATTACGGGCAGCAAAAGTTGCCCCTAAATCATAGGTAAAATTACACCATTAGTTATTTAACATTTTACTGTAGAAGGACATATATGTAAATTTACATTTTTTTGTAAAAATACATCACAAAGTTAATTTACATTTCTTGTAAAAATACATCACACTGTTAATTTACACTTTGTTAAAAAAAACTAAATATTGGTAATTTTACATGCAGGATTCGGGAAACTTTTGATGACAGTTAGCAACCAGTAGTTACGGTGTAAAATATTTCGTATTAACATTATTCAATATATACTGAATATCAATAATCCTGTTTGGTAGACGAGAGCATGGTTCCAGGCTTTCAGATGTAAGCCCGCGGTACTATCTATTTGCAAGTATTATAACCCTGCTTTACAGACAGTCCGGTCCAACTTACACTGACCAATCGGTTTAAGTAACCGTCTTCAAGCGAACTTGAAAACGAGATAATACAACCTACGACCAGAAAGTTAAAACATTGTTTTTTTTATACATTTAAGAAAATCCTTACAAACCGATTAACGTACGATAAATATCAATACACTTTATAGATCTTATAAATAATGGAAACTAGATATACATGACATGCAATATACCAGAATTTACAAGATGTGATTGTCCATATTATGGTTAACAAATTGAAATGAATACTATAACATGATGATTATTAGGAATGTTTCGTTGCTATGGAATAATAAAATAAAATAAGAGATAGTAAATTTACCGATTACGATAACTACCAATAAGTAAATTTACAAAATAACGTAAATAAACGTACATCTGTAAAATGACATGCTGGTTATGTTATTTCCCGTTCAATATTGAAATATTACATACTAAGCATGTATTTTTACCGAATTTTGAATGTGCCTTTTGAATATTGGTAAATATTCCTAACATTTTAAGGTAAAAACAAATACTTTAACTGCTGTAATTTTACTTATATTTCTTAGCTAAAAGTAAATTACATAATAATGTGAACAGACGTAAAATCTGTAAAGTTACATGCTTGCTTCGTTACTTTCAGTTCAATTTTTATTACATAATATGTATTTTTATCGGATTTTGAATATGTCTTTGATTTCATCGCGCTTATTGTCAAAAACACATGAAAGACGATAAACATACATGAAACTCGGTAAAAATACACCAGACTTGGTAAAAGTAGTATATGTTGTAAAATATACCGACTATTGAGGTACAAAAACCACTTGTACTACTGTAATTTTACACAAATTTCTGACAGTGATCTGATGGATGTCGTAACATCATTTGCTATTTGGTTGTGGACTTCAACAATCACTGTTAATTGGTTGTGTGTTGAGAAATGTTAACAAAAATATTTGAATTTTTGATTTTATTACTATTGAATAAAACATTTCTGTGATTTCAACTTTTTACGACAACCAATTTGGGCTACGGTACATCTTACTATAGTTGGAATACACTGTACATTACTGTATTTTGACGTTACGTTTGTAAAATGAATTATTTCAGGGTAAAATCACCTGTATAATATGGGGTTTTTACGACTATTTGTACTATCACTCCTATTTTGGTGTAATAAAACATACATATGTAAAATAACATACAACTACGTAAATATTTTACCACATTCTTATGGTAAATTAACATTTATTTCTAACAGTGGGTCTCGGGTTCGTTTTCTGGACTGCCCCAGATAGTTTCTTTTGGTCTTGCGGTGCGGTTTCCTTTGTCCATGGAGCAGGACGGCTAGCCTGGCAAGGGCAGTGTCTAGTCGTTCGAATGGTACGAAAACCGAGGTCCCTTGTACAGTTGGAATTCGAAATAAGAGTAGGTCGCAGCGACGCAGTCAGGGCTAAATTTCCTTCATAACACATTGTATGGCGTATGCCCGTCTTCATTAACCCAATCGCGACAGACAAGCAGGACGTTAAACCCCATTTCATCCCATTTCCATTTCATTTGAACACAAATAACCTATGTATCAGGTAACTTAAAGGGACAATAACACTCTTGCTGGCTTGACAGCTCCAAAAAATAAAAAAATAGCCTTATTCTAAGTACTAGATGTGTTAGTGTCCTACCTGTTGTGTAAATTATCCATTACATCCTATTTTACTTGTCCAGGGGGGTCACATTTGAAAAGGTTTACGTTAGGCTTTTCAAATGATTTAGTTGAATTTTTCCAATTTTTTATATTAGGTGTGTTAAGATGAAATTTGTATCATCAATTAATTGGAATATTGTAAAATAGTACAATTTGTTGATCCGAATAAAGATTGGGACATATTATTCAGTTACAACAAAAGTGGTATTGAGCCTTTAAAGCTTACTCCTGTTCCAATTTCCATATATAGATCTTTTAAGAAAGACACGTGACTTGGTGTTGTATTCAATTGTCCCCTGAAGTCTGTCTGTAGTTTACCGTTGACGTCATTATAGAATTAGTAGGACACGTAATCCACCGTTTCAATATATATTAATTAGTTTATAATTTCCTCAAAGAAATCCGATAAAGGCAGTTACGCTGGATTTAGAAAACGATTAGGCCTTTAATGGGCGAAACGTGAAGACCAATGTAATTAAAGATGCATGATGTAAGAGCTAAATCTGCCTATTACAGGTCTTTCTTTTGGCTTTAAATGTCATATAAATTATTAATTAGACATTTATTTATATGATAAGTTCATAATCAATTCTAGATGCCATCGGATGTCCGAGATTTCGAATGGATTAAAACATAATCGCCATTAAACTTAAAATGGATAATTGAGACTTTGTTTATTATCGAAATAATGATACTTGACAATTGAGACTAGGGTGTAAACACATCAAAGCTTTATAACTCGTTCAGGATCGAGTAATTTGACTGAAACCTTCAATATTTTCATTTGTCATTATCTATGTTTGGACTATTATTGAAAAACGGCAATCTCTGTAGCTAAATATTATATAATGCATCATTAAATTCCTTGACATTATAGTTCGTAAAATTGTTTCTGGCAAATTGTTCATAATCTTAAAACTGTTCAATCTATATTGTTTGGGGTTTTTTCCCGTTTAATGTGAAACTCTTTGTGATTTTAGGGCTATATTGTCAAAAATATACTCTTCAAAAAAAGTAGGGGATATTCAGAACTGCAGCAATGCACTGCTGTTTTTATTAGAGGTTACCAGTGTATGTTAATAACAGGCCAATTGCCTACACATGAACATATCTGACGGCCCTGTTTCACTCGCAAAGAGACACACCGTCAAAAGTGAAAATGGACGTTTTTGATTTTTGTCTTAATATTATAATGAGTAATTGTTCCACCAATCCTCAGACATTCAGCAATTCGTCGTGGCATGCTCCTAATCAACCGTCCAATCACGATTTGGGGCAATCTTGCAGTGGTGTCGGTTGACGTTGACGTCGACGTACACGTCTCCCGATCAAATTAAACGTAACACACTAAAGCAAAGATACGCTAAACAGTAAATCTTATGCAAGAACCGATAGGAAAGCAAACATGGATAGGATAAACCAACACGCGGCAGTTTTCATCAACCCTTCCTCGAAGTGTCAAATTTGAAATGAACCCTTCCCACGTCTATGGGGCTATTGAGTGTCGCACGTGCAGCTCAGTGGTTCTGTTGAGGCGATAAGTTCTTCATCTGTGAACACACTCTCAAAGCATGTCAAGTGTCCATGACTATTTATCATATCACAACCTGCATAGGTATTTGCATTTCAATATCCCCTACTTTTTTTTTGAAGAGTATATTTCAATTCCGTTGAGTATTTACAAAGATATGACGAATTGAAAAAATGAATTGAAATGAAATGGGGTTTAACGTCCTACTGTTCTGCTCCGATTGGGCTCATGAAGACGGGCTTGCGCCATACAGTGTGCTATGAAGGACATTTCGCCCGGACAGCGGCACTACGGCCTACTCTTATATCGAATTCCAACTGTCACGGAATCTTTGACGTGCACGCCAATGTGTACACGGAGCCGCGTTTTTTTGTTTCATCCGAACGACTAGACAGCTGTCCTTGTCAGGCCCTCTGCCCTGCACCACTGACAAGGGGGAAACCATATCGGAAAATTCCCGATGAACTTTCTAGGCTAACACCGGGAACGAACACGCGCCTAGCGAGACTAAACGAAGTGAAAAATTCATCGATTTATAACATTCCATTAGTAATAGTAAGTGCGGAAGGACCGCACCGCATATAAACAATTATAGGACCCAGCAACACAATTTATAACAAGAGCGCCGCCATCTTGATTTGCCATGAGCCAAATCGATGGGCCTCTTTTAAATCCAATTGAACCCAAGCCGGAGATTATCCATGTACCTGAAGCGAAAGATAGAGAGAGAAAATGGGGTTTAACGTCCACTCGACACAAACTAGGTCATTTTGGGACTAACATATGGTTTAATTGTATTTCAATAATTCGCTTGCGCGTAGGGGTCTTTAGCAGTGGGAGGCAACCGGAGGACCCAGAAAAAAACCCACGAGGTTGGACAGGCGACCCTACTCCTTGTCACGTACAACCCGTGAATCGAAACCACGCCTGTTGACTCAATGACAGACGTTATGATACAGCGCGCACATGCTAACCATTCGGCCATCCAACACCCCGTTCCTGAAGCGACGACTGCGAGTACTTACATGTACGAATAAAGCCTTCTATTACAGATGGAGATTTTCTAGCGTTGGTATTTTTATTTTGTTTTCTTAATTATCTGAGTACATTTTAGCTTAAATTTGGGAAATTTGATGGGTTTTTTTCCAAAAAACGTAAATCAGTATTTGAAATAATAACCTTATTCTAATTTAAAAATTATACAGAGAGAGGCCCAGGAAATGGTGAAAGAAGCGGATTTGAATGGCGATGGAAGGGTTGATTATGCAGGTAGGTGTGTGGTTGTTCATCGGGTTCGTTGTGAATTTTTATTCACAGACCCTCGCAATAGAAAAAAAAAATCGCCCGAGAAAGAAAATACAATGCTGTTCGAGAAAATCGCAAGATCTTGAATTGTTCATGACAACGCACATCCCTTAAAAAGATTACCCATTTCTGCATTTTATTATTATTATTATTATTGTTCGATTTATATAGCGCTTCATTACATATGAGTGTTTCTAAGCGCATTCACAACAAAACAGTTCAAAAACATTTTTGAAATAAGTATGTTTTTAAGTTAGTCTTAAAACTCTGGATGGAAGAGGACTCTCGAAGAGTTTTTGGAAGATCATTCCACATTTTAGCTGCTCTGATGGAGAAAGCATATTCACCAGAACGCTTATTATATTTAGGGATCCTCAATATGCTACGATCACTTGAAGAACGAAGGTTGGATCGCCGGGGAGTATAGAAATCAAAGAGTTCTTTTAAATAACTGGGTGCGGTGTCAGAATAAATTGATTTAAACACATTCACAAGAGCTTTAAATTGAACCCTCGCTCGAACTGGAAGCCAATGGAGTTTCTGTAACTTAGCTGATATATGATCAAATTTTCGTGTTTAGTTATGAGACGTGCAGCATTGTTTTGCGCTATTTGTAGTCTGTTTAAAGCTGTTTCTGGTGCTCCTAATAGAAGAGAATTTGCGTAGTCCATGTGGGATGTTACTAATGCTCTAACAACACTCTGACAAGCATCAGTATTAAGACTAGAGCGTATTCTCGAAATAGCTCTCATTTGATGATGCATTTTCCGTATGATACTATTGATTTAATTGTCAATGAGCTTTGAGCAGCAGATCGGATTCAAATCCAGTGAAAAACCAACACATATGATGACATCGAGAGTTGATTAATGGTCTTTTCGTGTTAATAAAAGTCTAATTAAATATAACATTTCAGGCTTAAAGATATATTTAAATTGTTTATTTTTATATCCACTTATTTGAATTATTTCATTTATGAGAGTATAATAAATAAAAGGAGGCGGTAAACCCAATTTCCGGTTATTTCGCAATTGGTACACCGTAGTTTAGACGCCCACTATAGATAGAAAAAAAAACGACACATATATAAATATATATAATACTGATAATGGATATGTTTTTCTTCTCCTTTAACCTTACAAAGATATTATTTTCATTTCTACAATACGGCATTATTATGTCTCTTGAGGTTGCTCCGAGGATTTTTTTTTTGTGTCCTTTTTTTGTGTCCATATTTCATTGCATATTGTCAGATTCTTGTGAAATTATTCTCATTATCTTTAGTACTGCTGTCCACTTCTTTCGTTGATGACAATGAGTGGGAAAATTATCAGACATTTGCCTTTTAAAAATATCGTTTTTCATTACTCGAGGGGGATTGTGTTTGTATTAATATTGAAATAACGTAGGAGTGAAAAATGAGGTTTACATATGTATATTGTGTTAATTCTTTAAAGATGCATTCCCACGAAAGTTTTTCAGAGAGAGAGTCAGAGGAAGAGAGAGAGAGGGGGGGTAACTAGGTCATTTCGGGACTAACATAATATGGTTCAATTTTATTTCAATAATTCTCTTGGGCTTAGGGGTCTTTAGCAGTGGGAGGAAACCGGAGGACCCAGAGAAAACCCACGAGGTTGGAAGGCAACCCTACTCCTTGTCATGTACAACCGGAGAATCGAAACCACGCCAGCTGACTCAATGACAGACCTTAGGATACAACGCGCAGGCGCTAACCAATATGCCATCCACCCCACCCCCCTCCAAAGTCTTTCAGAGAGATAGAGAGAAATGTGGTTTAACGTCCACTCCATACAAACTAGGTCATTTCGGGACATAGCAAAAATGAGACCCACTGATGCACAGGCCCTTAAAACAAGTGACGCAGCCACGAGCCGAGCACCACAAGTGCGAGGTTTCTCAAAAGTCGCTGAAATGCCATTTCCTGGACTTTGGGGGAAGATTTTGCAGAATTCTGATGTTCAGAAAACACTTATAAATTGAGTAGAATTGAGTACTACGCATGGGAATACATGTTATTTATTAAGAGATCTGCAAGAACGCACAGAGTACTGTGAATTTGTGATAATAATGTCCTCAGATCTTCATCAATTAAACCTCCTCGCTTAGTCAAGATTCACCACCGATCGGCGATTTTGTCAAGATCGATCGTGTCCGTCATGTCACGCTCGCACGCAAGAGTCAATAGTTCATTGAGGAGTTCCTGTTTCATTACTGAACGAATAGAGTTTAATTGGAGCTGTGAAAAACTGGCGCCTATTGTGATATCCAATCAAAGCAATCATACGTATTTACAGATATATTCATACCTATATTTGGGATTTTCCCTTCTTTTCTGGGAGTGTTTTTTTACGTCAGTAATTCATTTAGTCGCCGATGCATGATTTTGAGTCTGGCTACGGTGACTGCATTTATGTTGAGACCGACCCTATTTTTTCCTGGGGCGATGGACCCCACGCCCCCACATTTACGCCCTCGGGTGGTGCCTGCTACCAACTCCTTCATTATATTCCCCTGAAACTTAAGTATAGGACCTAATTCTCAGAAATGTGAGCAAGGAGAGAGAGAGAGAGAAATGGGGTTTAACGTCCATTCGACCTACTCCTTGTCACGTACAACCGGGGAATCGAAACCAGGCCAGTTGACTCAATGACCTACCGTATGATACAGCGCGCGCGTGCTAACATGCTGATACAGAAGAAACAAACTTTTAGTTCAAATTAAGTAGGACAGCTTGGATATATCAAAAGTTAACAGCGAAAATTTCCAATTTAACAAATAATTGTAATTTCACTCTTTGATTGGATGCCCGGGACCACCCCCCTCTCTGTCTCCCTCTCTCTGTTTGTCTGTCTCTGTCTCTTTCTCTCTCTCTCTCCCCCGCCATTGTCCGTGGGTGTTTATAACACATTTTATGGACTTTACTGCTGTAGGTGCGTGTTTCACTGCCTGGCAACCCATCTTATTCTCATTTTTTTTTCTTTACAGAATTCAAAGCTATCCTGACGTCGAGATGATTGGCCATTAGATGTATTATAACCAGACGAATGGTGTTAATATGATACCAAATATTTTCATAAAATTCAATCTGATTAAAATACAGATCTTTATTTCGTTTCGTTCTTTTATATTTTCGATTTCCTCCACTACATCACCCAGAATACGATTTATATAACAACTAACCGAGTCCCTGGGTCCCGTTCATTTAAACGTAAAATATAATATTTTAAGAGTTCTAGAAGTTCAGTGAGTGAGCTCCTGGCCAATGAAATGGCAACCTTCTTAAATTTTAGCATAAGTTTGTAGGGCCCCAGGTTCTGGGAAAGTTGTTAAATAACCCGCTTTCTGGGTGATGTAGTAGAGGTTATCGAAAGTATAAAAGAACTATTTGTTAAAGCTAACTCAATTTTTCGTCATGGTCACCTGAGATGTAAATAAGGTTAGGGCACGTGATTGTTGGTGAGGTTAGGGTTAGGGCTAGGTCTAGAGTTAGGGTTGGGATTAGTGCTAGCCCTGTTTACATCTCATGGCCTTTGACCAAACTTGAAGTTGGCCTTATCAAATATATCTGACCGACCCTGGTGTTGTAAAGACATGTAAAACGAAATTTTGAACTATAAAAAACGAAACGAAATAAGATCTGTGTTTCAATCAGATTGCATACAATTATTATAAGAACAAAGTGTATACGTTGTAAGACGATATAATTACAATTAAATTAAAGATGCATTATGTAAGATTTAGATAAAGAGCTGACTGTTCTCGCCATAATAGTTTAAAAATAGATAATGAAAAAGGAATATGTCGAAAATTACAGTCAAATTACTTCATTCTGAGCGAAGTTATGGCTGTTTGGAGAATAACGGAGTCTCGATTTTCATTGCTACCGTTGTCATGATTATCCACTTTTAAATTAAATTATTAAATGGCGATACTGTTTCAATCCATTGAAATCTTGGTCATCCGATGATCTAGAGAGTTGTTTATATGCTTGTCATGATAATAAATATCTAGCTCAAAATGAATACAACATTTCAAGCCAAAAGAAAGATTTGCATTAGACAGATTTTAGCTCTTACATAATGCATCTTTAAGACTTCGTTTCCTTTATTTTTTTCTGATTTGTAATCTAAGTTACTTTCCATCACAACCGTTAGTCGCTTTCCTATGTCTGTAAGCCAATCATACTGGGTTCATCAGGATCCCTTTTATATACGCTTTCGTTTTAAAATTCACATAGCGCCCCACAAAACGCAGCCCGGAATACGAATACAGATAATTTGACAGGTAACATTATCACGTGATGTGGACAACCAGAACCTCACAGTCGTCATTCGTATAATATTTGTCTGAATGACAGAGACTACTTTTAACATCAATACTCGAACAACCACATTCGGTATTCTAACACAAAACAACAGTTACTTTAACAAAATGAAAAAAACACTCTACATTTGTATTTGGAAAGATAAATCACTTCTGACACAACTGTTGAATTAGAAAAATAGGACCATTTATATTTATTTAGTTCAGAAATAATCCAAATATAAACGTTTGTTGTTGTGTAAGTGTAGTTTAATGGTCGAGAGCGAGCAAAGTAATATATTGATATTGCACGAGTGCTAAGTGTAGTTTAATGGTCGAGCGCGAGACATTAAGTAATATATTGATATTGCACGAGTGCTATGATTGTGTAGTTTAATGGTGGAGCGCGAGACATTAACTAATATATTGATATTGCACGAGTACGTTTAGGACCAGTTCTATAACTATATATTACGCAATGTCTTGCATGAGACCATTAAATAACTTAAAATACAGACATTATCCGGCACGTGCATTTCAATGAAATACGTCAAGCAGGTCCAATATTTTAACTAGTATAAATAGTGTACGCTTGGCACATTGCCCGTACCAAATTCAGTCCCTTCCATTCCCATTTCAAATAATGGTACGCCAACATCAAAGGATGACGTCACATCTGTATTTTAAATACATTATTTCAAATAATGGTACGGACAATGTACCAAATTCGGTCCCTTCCATTCCCACTCTTTAGGCCAGCACTGTAGCATAATATCAAATTGTACAGTAGTAACTCATGGTAAAATTTAAACTAAAGCTATTTTTTAAATTTGTATTTTATTATATTTCCATATTCCTTTAAAGATTTATATTTGATTGTCTCATATGCAGGGGCGGACTCAGACCAACTGGTTTTCTTGGACTCCGATCGCGGTGAACAATTTTTGTAGAATGAAAAAAAAACGAAACTAGTTTGATTCAACTTTCTCGCACCACCATTTTCTCCCCGAAATTAGGTCATCATAGTTTTCGGTGGATCCGAAGATGATTTTTAATTACTTTGAAAAAATATATGTCAATTTTGTTTTCAATTGGAACCTATGGGTCCCTGACTCCTGACCCCTCTGCGCCTTCGGAACACGTCCGACAGTCTGAGTCCAAGCCCGCCCCTGCACATGTATAAATGTTATTGTTATATATGTATCTATTGTTCGTCACGTGATCTATATATATATATATATAATATATATATATATATATGACTATCTCTATGTTGGTTATATCTCCATGTATATAAGTCAATATTATAAAATTATATTGAGTCAATACTTTCTCATCTATTATTAACACACGATTGTTTTTATTTATATCCAGTTAGGATCTTAAATTTAGGTTATGTTTAATCGTACATCGTGGTGTATAGCGTAAGCCCGTCTTCATTAGAAATGAAATGGGGTTTAACGTCCTACTGTTCTGCTCCAACTGGGATAATGAAGACGACCATGTGTGCTATAAGGAAAATTTTTCCCGGGCAGCGGCACTATGGCCTACTCTTATATCGAATTCCAACTGCCAAGGGGTCTTTTATGTGCATGCCAAAGTATACACGGGACCTCGCTTTTTCGCCCCACCCAAACGACTAGACAGGTGTCCTTATCAAGCCCTCCATCCTGCACCCCTGATATGGGGAAACCACGCCAGAAATTCTCGTTGATCGTTCTCAGCCAACACCGGTTCCGAACCCGCAACCTCCAGACTGTACCCAGCATAGCTCCTTTAAAGTTAATATAAATTATTAATTAATATATTTAGTCATACACGAAATGGGACGAGTTAATCAGTTGTTTGAATCTACAAACAGGCAAATATTACAGACACGGTGAAGTGCCAGATTTACCTACAGGATATCCATCCTATTTTTACTCTGTGCCTCGGCGCCTCACCCAGGGAAAAAAGGACACCACTCTGCAAAATTCCGGGGATTGAATCTCGGACCTCCAGGCCGTCTGATTTGCGAGTCAGCGCCTTACCCGCTGTGCCACCACGCATCCCAAGTCAATGATATTCGAGTGGGGTTCAGATTAAACTGTGATGTTAGATTTTATCGTCCCGTCCAATTAATAATAAAATTCTGATACTAACACAAGGTACAAATTTTATGGATATACAGTTACTGAGTTTAAAGATACATTCCCGCGTAAAAACTTTGTGATTTGATGATATATTTGGATTAAAAACATATTCATAGTAACCAATCTATCAAAAAGTTGCTTCGATTCCCTCTCAAAACTTTGTATTCGCCGGGGATTCCTATAGATATAAGTAAGCTGTTGTTAGACGCAATATCTGTTCACTTAGCTTCATTGTGGGAGGGTCCATTTTTCAGAATGTATTTACCATTACTTATTGTTCATTTACCATACATATTGAGGCCTAAAAAAATTATTAATTATTTCTGTCAACTTCTTTTTCCGCTGTTTAATTGCAGAGTCTTTTGTACGTTGACACCCCTCAATGTTCCGAAAACCGCCCAACCATATGATCAACAAATAACAACCGCTCCCTCACTTAAGCTGGCACACAATAAGCTGGCAGATAGCAGTCAGGTTGTCAGTTAGTGATACCTTGAAAATTTTGCCCAGTGCTTGCCCCATGGGCGTTTTATGGGTAATCCAGTATTTTCTAGTAAGACTGGGTGTCTATACTTTCCATGTATACCAAATTTGACATACTTTTATTGGAAATAACCACCCGATAAATAATTTTCTGGGAAAGTATCTTTAATACTATGCGATGTTTCGACGAGGATACTCTCGTCTTTATCAAGCAAATGACATGTGAATAGTTGGCAGATATATACAGAATAGGTCTATGCAACAAAAATAACAATCAAATACAATTAAAACTTAACACCTTTGATTAGAGAGCCATTTACAACTAAACCAACACTGCGGAAACTGTTACAGGGATTAAAAGGGGGGAAATCCTTTTATTTATAAAGATCAAAGTGTTTACACTATTAATAGGAAACCAATTAACCTGAGCTATAGATAAACACAAGTTAACAAAATAAATGAAGTTTTAGCACGCGAAACATTGCAGTAATCTGTATTTGCCAGTCGATAAATGCGTGGAGGCTGTTGGCGATAAATGGGGAGGACTAGTGTGGGGGCTGTTGGCGATAAATTCCAAAGCTTTACTGACATAAAAGGTCTAAGGAATTGATACCCATGAAATCTAACTTTCCAAACTCAAGGCGTGTGTGTGAGTGAGAGAGAGAGAGAGAGAGAGAGAGAGAGAGGGGGGGGGGGGTAACGTCCACTCGACACAAACTAGGTCATTTTGGCTCAATGTTTTTTTTAATAATTCGCTTGCGCGTAGGGGTCTTTTGCAGTGGTGTGAAACCGGAGGGTCCGGAGAAACCCCTAGTCCTTGTCACGTACAATCGAAACCACGCCAGATGACTCAATGACAGACCCTATGATACAGCGCGCACGTGCTAACCATTCGGTTATCCAACCATCAACTCATGGTAAGAAAAATCTAAAAACATGTATTGTGTTATAGTTTGACTTGGCTTATTGTTTTTATTGTTTCGTTAGAAAAAAGCCATCAGTTAGTCATGATATGTTTGTAAATAAAAAGCCTACGAGCCACGGGGTAAGGTGGAGCTGCCCCCACTCCCCTCGTAACTTTCGTTCAATCTGACTATTCGGGAAGACGGGAAAGCGAAACAAAAATTATTATTTCATCTAGATGGCATAATAAAGTGCCCAAAATCTAATAAAACACTAATTCTAATTTTATTTTTATTAAATACCACAAATTTGTACTGAATTGACTATGGATTAAAACATTTCAACTGGAGACACTCTACTGTGACCCAGGGGAGGATCCAGGAATTTTTGCAGGGAGGGGGGGGGGGCATGTTCCTGAGACAATGTATCTCCCCCCCCCACCCTCCCGCATGGTCTCTATAGTCATTTTGGCGTATATACATACACATTGAGCTTTTTAAACAGAGAAATCCAACACCTCGTTTGACGTCAATTTTTACAATGACATTGTGATTCAATTTCATGGATGCAAAGCATTAATTGTGATAACACAGAATGTTTATATCATTATCTCGTGCTTTGAGTGCCCATCCTGTCCCAAATCTGACGATAAAGGATAAAGAACACGGCCGAGAAACCTTTCTCATAAAAAGTGTTGATTTACAAAAAAAAATTATGTAGCTGAGCAGGGGAAGGGGGTCGACCCCCCCCCCCCCCCTGGATCCGCCCCTGACTGTCTGCAACATTTTTGGGGCATTTGTTTATTATTTGTGAATTCAGCTGCAATAGTCCGATTAGAAATGAAATGAAATGGGGTTTTACGTCCTACTGTTCTGCTCCTATACTGGGCTAATGAAGACGGGAATACGCCATACAGTGTGCTATGATCTTTTAGGTGCACGCCAATATGTACACGAGACCTCGGGTTTTCGTCCCATCCGAACGACTAGACAGCTGTCCTTGTCAGGCCCTCCGTCCTGCATCACTGACAAGGGGAAACCACGCCGGAAAATCTGGATGAACTTTCTCGGCCAATGCAGGGATCGAACACCTGACCTCCAGGCTAGCGAGCCAGCGTCTTACCCACTTAGCCAAGTGATCCCCAGTCCGGTTAGATGATTGGAATTCAGGTCGGCATAGATAGTGGGGGTTCGGTTGCAAACCGATTGCAATATACTTTGAAATTGCTTAATTCACGGGCTAGGATAGCAGAAAAACGCATTTGCGGCGGTCATATTTTCAAAATTTTGTCGGGGAGCGCCAGGCCCCCATACCCCGCGACGATAGATTTAGGATTCGGGTCAGGCGCCTAAGTTAGGCTATATTGGACCACATTGAAGTTGCTGTATTCACGGGATGAAATAGCAAAATGCGTTTGCGGACGTCCAATTGTCTTTTGAGGGTGGGATGGGGCGTACACGGCATCTCGCAGACGGCCTGTAACCTGAAATTTTCTTCGGGCATTTCAGGTTCTGCCCCCCCCCCCTGTCCTCCTAACATTCATCGAGCCTGTACGCCTATGCACCACGGGATCATTTTATGTATAAATTCATCTGATATTTTTAGATTGATTGTGTTAAAGGCTCAATACCACTCTTGTTGTAACTGAATAATATGTCCCAATTTTTATTCTGGTCAACAAATTGTCCTATTTTACAATATTCCAATTAATTGATGATACAAATTTCATCTTAACACACCTAATTTAAAAAATTGGAAAAATTCAACTAAATGATTTGAAAAGCCTGACGTAAAGCTTTTCAAATGTGACTTGGATTTAAAAATATTTTTGAACCCTCTGGACAAGTAAAATAGGATTTAATGGATAATTTACACAACAGGTAGGACACTAACACATCTAGTACTTAGAATAAGGCTATTTTTTATTTTCTGGAGCTGTCAAGCCAGCAAGAGTGTCATTGTCCCTTTAAGAGAACACCGGTAAAACACTCTTCATAAAAGGCTTTTGGTTATTCAAATTTTTAAAAGTGACGTCATGATCCAGAGGTATAAATAATGAATTACATCAACCATATATTTATCGTTGGTGTTATACATACAGTGCACTCTGTCACACCCGACATCGTACAGGGTCGTTACAATATGTCAGATTACACAGTGTCGGAATACCCAGTTTTCTCAAAACCGAAAAATTGTAACTTCGAAAACAGGAAGTATTATTATAATGTAGCTTCGAAAATAGAACTTCGAATCACCAGAATGTTATTCCCTTTAAAAATGATAAACCTTTCTGTACATTCAAAATTTTATTACATTTAACATGCGTAGGCATTTTGAATAGGTCAAGTCTGTCTTATTTTATTTGCGCAAACCAGTGAGGTGTTACGACAGAAAAAGTAGAGAAGACTTATAGAAATAGAAGATATTATTACAACGGTCTTAATGCTATGTTCCCACTATCACGATTCGCTCCTCGAAAACGTGTTTGCGGCTGTCAAACTTTCTTTATTGGATGGGGTGTGGGGTTAAATTCCATTCCTTGGCCTCTCGCAGACGACCGGCACGGACGTCAGGAACCCGAAATTTTGGGGGGCATTTCTAGTTCTGCCCCCCCCCCCCCCCGCCCCTAGTTAAACCCCATTTTATTTCAATCATTTTTTTCGTCGTGACTGGATTTACCGGTAGGAAATTATTGCAGGTGCCGCAATTATATTTAATGATTGGTGAAAGTCTCTTAGAAAGTCTTATCCTACTCCCGTTAAATAATCGGCTTTCACGTGTAGCTGTCAACCAACAACAGGTGTTCTCGGGCGAAATCTATTTGTTAAGGCCAGCTCAAGTTTTGTCAAGGTCGCTGAGATGTAAATAAATGAAATGAAATGAAATGGGGTTTAACGTCCTACTGTTCTGCTCCTATACTGGGCTAATGAAGACGGGCATACGTCATACAGTTTGTTATGAGGGAAATTTTGCCCGGGCAGCAGTACTATCGCCTACTCTTATATCGAATTCCAACTACCAGGGGATCTTTTACGTGCATTCCAATATATACATGGGACCTTGGTTTTCGTCTCATTGGAGGGACTAGACAGCTGTCGTTGTCAGGCCCTCCGTTCTGCACCACTGACAAGGGGTAACCATGTCGGAAAATCCTGATGAACTTTCTCGGCCAATGCAGTGATCGAACACCCGACCTCCAGGCTAGCGAGCCAGCGTCGTAACCACCTAGCCACCGTGCTCCTGGATGTAAATAAGGTTAGGGCACGTGAAAGGTGGTTAGAGTTAGGGTAAGCAACACACTTTCCTTCAAAACAACAAACATTCCTCCAAAACAACAAACATTCCTCCTCCAGAATAACACACATTCCTCCAGAATAACACATATTCCTTCAAACAAACAGAACAACACACATTTCTTTAAACAAACAGAAGAACACACATTCCTTTAAAACAGCATTCCTCCAAAGCAACAAACAATCATCCAAAGCAAAACACATTCCTTCAAAACAACACACATTCCTTCAACCAAACAGAAAAACACACATTCCTCCAAAACAACAAACATTCCTCCAAAGCAACAAACATTCCTTTGACAAAAGTTATAGATATTATCTCAACAAATAGTTTAACCATTTCCTATCATTTCAAAGGTACGGATGGAATAAGATAATTAAAACAGAAATGAAATATTGTTTGGCGTGTCAGCACCAGCCGGGCTATATTCCGCCAGTGATTAAAACCGATTGTAGCCAAATATAATTATCAGCCCAGTTCCCCGTTAAGCCCTATCAACACTATCACCCCCAGTTCCCCTTTAAGCCCTATCAACACTCAATCATTGAAAACATAACTATCACCCCAGTTCCCCTTTAAGCCCTATCTACACTCATTCATTTAAAACAAAGATTATTATCATTTAAAAGATAAAAATAAGACAGATTAAAACAGATTGTAGCCAAATATAATTACCATCTCGTGCCCTTTTACGTCAAAACAGCACACAATCTTTCAAAACACTTAACTTTATTCAATTTTATAGATAATAAAGATAAGCTATGTAAATAAATAGTATGTTATTACATGAAACAAAAAATGATATCATGTCATCGCGGATATAATAAACAAAATATGATAACTCGTGATTGAGGATATATTTATACTCAGTATAATGCTGATGTAATACATGTATAATAAACAAGGCGGTGGGGTCGTGGCCTTGTTGTCTAGTGTCGTGCTTCGAGCTCCGGGCCCTGTTTCTCGAAATCTTAACTAAAGATAAAATCCATTTTTAGTAGATGATTCAATTTGATTGACTTAGTACTAAAATCAATCTAATATTCTCGAATCAAATTACTAAAATTTGGATTTTGTGGAACAGGCCCCTGGTTGGCACGTTACCTCTGGCTAGCTGTCGTGGTTTCGGTTCCTGTTGTGAAAACTCGTGATTGAGGACATATTTGTAGTAAGAATAAATCTGATGTAATACATGCTTAATAAAAACAACATATGATGTTTAAAGATACATGTACACCATGCGAGATTAACGATTAGAGGTTGGTTGTTTCCGTCCGCTATAATATTTCAAAAATAGATAATGAAAAATGAATATATTGAAATTTTGAGTCAAATTACATTGTTCTGAACGAAGTTATGAATGTTTGAAATTTTAACAACAAATAACCGTAAATTGTCTCCGATGATTACCGAGCATTACCGATCGTTGGCAGACGGAAACTCTCGATTTTCAAGTACTATTGCCGCGATAATAAACGAAGTCTAGATTTTATCAGTCCCTTTATCGGCAATTACCGTTATTGAAGTCTTCCTTTACCGTAAAATTTCGGCTATGCCAGCCAAAATTAGCGTTTAGCGCAAATATGGCGAACATTGTATAATCCACTCAATATCTAAGCCATCAGATGACCGAGAGGGCTGATTATGGGCTTGTCATGTGAATAAATGTCGAAATAATAATTTATACAACACTTGAAGCAGGAAACACGCACAACTATAGGCAAATAAAGATAGAGGGGGTCTTTAGCAGTGGGAACCGGAGAAATCCACTAGGTTGGACAGGCGACCCTACTCTTTGTGGCAAATAAATTCAGCTCTCGCATAACGCCACTTTAAAACGGTAAGTAAATACTGAACAGTAGAGGTTATAGAGTAACGTATTACAACGCATTTTATAAACAATAAATACTGAACACGGTAGAGTATAATATTACATACAAATAAACCATCAATACAGAAATGACCTAGTTTGTATCGAGTGGACGTTAAACCCCATTTCTTTCGCTCTCACCAATCAGGGGGCGTTGTCACCGCTAATTTGGCACGAGGAACAAGATTCAGTGGGAGCATAAAAACCTAAATATTAATATCGTCAGGAGGAATTCTCAACCTCCCCACGCCCAGCTGGCACGAGAGAGAGAGAGAGAAAGAGAGATAGAGAGAGAGAGAGGGTGTGTTACCGTCCATTCAATGCAAACTAGGTCATTTCGGGACTAACACATGTTCAATTTTATTTCAATAATTCGCTTGCGCGTAGGGGTCTTTAGCAGTGGGAGGAATACCCACGAGGTTCGGACAGGCGACCCTACTCCTTGTCACGTATAACCGGTGATTCGAAACCACGCCAGTCGACTCAATGGCAGACCATATGATACAACGCACGTGCTAACCATTCGGTCGTCCCCCCCCCCCTGCATACCTGGGCCATATGTGGGTCATTCGTCGCCTAAAATTAGTCCCTGATATGGCAAGTGTACTGCGCAGCTGTCTATTATTGAGATTATGTTACGACTGCGCCATAAATACATGTATATACATTATATCGCGCATTATATAATTAGAGTTTGGGCCAAGCAGGTGGTTACTGAGACGACATAATGGTGCAGAATGAAACTGCATTTACTATTTTGTAAATATCAAGAAAAATAATATTGAAAATTAAATTTAAAAAAAAAATCTTTTTGAACCATTGTTGTTGGTGGTGTTGTTTTTGTTTTCGATTTTTGATATAATGTCACAATAATTCCAAGCTGGCTGCCATGACATCATATTCATTTCCTGGTCTATAATACCGTGGTACTTTGTTTCACCAGCAGGACATAACAAATGGTAAAATCTCATAGAAGCAATATCCGAGTCATAGTCGTCGGATCAGATTGATAAAGAATGAAATCCCACTACTCAGGTTTCCGCATGTATTCATTCATTAAATAAGGATTGAAATCGGGGGGAGAATTTTCCGATATCGGATGTGTGTTCACACAGTGTTGTCGGATATTATCTGGCGATAAATTGACAGCTTCATCAATACCAGTGGGTTTGACTGTGTGCCAGTTAGTTGTTGGCTGCTTACCGTAACTCCCTGTACCAGATTGACCTGGGTATCCTTCTTGAGCAGCAGAAAAGGCAGGACGATATTCTCCAGGAAAACTCCCATTATTAGGCGGACATGCATGTGGTTGACCACTGGGATATAGTGCAGTATATGGTTGCCAATAATTGGGTATTCCATGATATTGTTGACCATAATGTACTTGACTTGCAGGTGGTTGCCAACTGGGATATCGCCCATAATATGGTTGTCCATAACTTGGTATTCCATGATATTGTTTTCCATCATATACTTGATTTACATGTGGCTGATAACTGGGATATTGCCAAGAATATGGTTGCCCATAATTTGGTATCGCATCGAAGTGTGGACCATTGTGTAGTGGACTTTCGTGTGGTTGACCATCACAGAATCCTGAATTGAAAGATCTTTCTGTGCATGGTGGATTACTTGAACACCCGGAACAGAACGCTGGTGGTACACCTCCCTGGCCCACAAAGGAAGCTGGTGCTTGGTATTGGGCTTGGAGAATTACGTTGTTATCAGCGGGTAATGGCATAACATTTCTACAAGCTTGCCACTGGTTCCCACTGTAAGACTGAGGTCCCACATTAGCCACTGGGCCATTTGACGTGCTACTCATAGGTTGTACAGTGTCGTTCCTTATAAATCGACCATATTGTTCCGTCTGTGGCCTATACCGGTTGACCTGGTTACCGTTATTTGGATTGGGACCATTTTGTGGATTCGGTGTTGGTACGCCTGCTTCGCCATGCACTCGATTAGAAGATGAATCCTCCACAGCGCGAACCATTTGATTAAACTCTTCAGAACAAAAGCCCTTCATTGATACTTCATACGTTGTAGCATCCATATCTCCAGCTTCAGTCATTATCATCCAGACTAAATTTAGCGCCGCTATTTTCGTATTTGATTTGACACTGGCTTCTTCGTTATATCCTAGCATGATCTTTCCCGCGCCTGGTGATTTCAGCTCAATCGGTATTTTGGAACTCATATTTTTGATTGTAACCAAACATTCCCCGTTCTGATAAGATCCGGACCTTAAGTGAATAAATTCTCGAGGACAATAATCTTCACATAGCTCAACATTGGCACCTCTCTTTCTCTCCAATGTGAATGATTCACTTACGTTTTTCGTCACTGGGCCGCTGGGAAATTTGCTAACAAGACTTGAAGGCAGACTAAGTGAATAGCTCAACTGGATTTTATGGGGCGTGGCAACAGTGGCACTTCTGAAAATATCATCAACGTCTTCTGTTGTAGCAGCATTAAAAATATCTGAAATAGTATAAAATCTACGTTTAACTTCAAATCGATGATTGGTACTTGAAGTATAAAAGGATAGCAAGCAGCAATGTCTCGACAGCAACTTATGCGATGGCAAAATATGGATGTTGGCCAAATTTGATCATTTATGACTTAAAAAAACTGTAGTCTCTATTGCGTTCGCAGGTTGGTCGAAACAAATAGGGAGTAACCCCGGACCGAACGGTCACCGAACGTTGAGTATTTATAGTGTTCGCCCTCTCGTGACGCCAATTCAACACAGCAGATTTGAAAAGGATCCTTCAAAATCACGTTTCTAACAAGTCGGTTGTTGATGGACGGACTGACCGACGGATAGGGTGACGACTATATGTACAATGGGCCGGGGATTTTGTCGTAACAGCGGCATTTCCATCCTATTTTCTTCAAAATTGTTTTGGACTGAAATATAGGAAAATGTAAGTGTGTTTAAAACACAAGGTCTAACAAACTAGGTCATTTCGGGACTTAAATATGATTCAATTTTTATTTCAATAATTCTCTTGAGCGTAGGGGTCTTTAGCGGGGGAAACTGGAGGTTCCCCGGAGAAAACCCACGAGGTTGGACAGGCGACCCTACTCCTTGTCATGTACAACCGGGGAATCGAAAACACGCCAGCTGACTCAATGACAGACCTTATGATACAGCGCGCACGTGCTAACCATTCGGCACCAAGCCGAGGATGATGATGGGTGTTTAAGACTAACAGTGCGTGTAAAAAAGGCTTATAAAAGTGTACATCTTGGTCGAAGGCCCCTAGATCTTGTTGCCATATCATCTGCCTGTCAGATGCGGCACTGAATCAAAAATATATTTAATTTTACTTATTACCATCGCAGGCAGCTTTGGCATCTTGGTCATTGCTGGCCATCGTTAACTTCTCGAATGATTTTCTCGTAGATTGTCTTCAATATTTCAAAATAGGCTTCTTCAGAGATCTGAAATAGAGGGAACAAATAATTTCTATAATAGGCTATCAGTAAAGTATATTGAGTAAAATGCCAACATATTCAAGAGAGGGGCGCAGAAAAATATATTAGATTATCTTTACTGATTTTAGGGGGGGGGGTGGAAGGCCGGATATGTTAGTCCCGAAATGACCTAGTTTGTGTCGAGTAGACGGTAAACTCTCTCTCTCTCTCTCTCTTTCTCTCTCTCTCTCTCTCTCTCTCTCTCTCTTATTTACTTTAGTGTACTCAATTATTACATTCACAGTTTCTAATGCATTATCGATTAATAATAAATATTGTCCACACGGTATGGCCCCCATTTTGTCATTTTGTGCATCAACCAATTTTTAATTACTTCCGCATTGTCTTCTGGGATGAGTTTTTCATTTCTTTGGTCATTACAAGTGGCACTCGAACCATTATGTCCATATAGTACATGAATTTGTGTACTGATTTAAAAATGTTCATTTTGTCTTAAATATTGGATATCAGAAGCCCATCTTTTCACGTTAAAATAACAACCTCAATGTTGATTTAAATTGACCAATAAGTCGTGTTTGCGATGGTGTTGAGTTAATGACTTCTAAATTAAATATTTTAAGTTGGCACCTGTAATTTTCTAGAAAAATCATGCGAAACTCGACGAGAACAACGGGGTGTCGCTATAATCAGGATGGTGGACTTTTGACGCCGTGATAAAAGACGTCATTGCTATTTTAGTCGATATCTTTGGAGATCTAGCTTAATTGCCAATGTGCAAATTAAAAAAATTACAGAGCAGTGTCTATGATGTACGAATTTTTCTTCATATTGGTGCTCAATTGATATTAAAGAGCTTTCGACTAGCCAGTAGGCCTATAAGAGAACAAGATGACCATAGCCTAGATTTGTTACTGAATGAAACAAACCCGTAGGCCTATATTGTATTTAATATGTTAAAAATAAATAACGCGACATACTACCGGAATTACCTCGCAACTTCATATTAGCGTCTTGTGGGGTCGTTGACTTGACATTAAAAAAACCGTTCGTCTACACGGATATAATACATGCGGATCCTATACTCAGAGTGTGTGAGTGGGGGGGCCAGTTTATTACATTACAATTATGTAAAATTTTGGTACTTTTAATGCGTTAGGTTGACCTTTGGTATAACTGTGGTACTAGAACGAGTGTATAATAAATAAAGGTGATATACTTATGGTACTATAACAGTATATAATAAATAAAGATGATATAGGCCTATGGTACTATAACGACTATATAATAATTAAAGATGATATAGGCCTATGGTACTATAACGAGTTAATTTATAATTAAAGATGATATACATATGGTACTATAACGAGTATATATATAATTAAAGATGATATAGGCTTATGGTACTATAACTAGTATAATAATTAAAGATGATATACCTGTGGTACTATAACGAGTAAATAATAAATAAAGATGATATACTTATGGTACTAATATGACAATTGAAGATGGTACGTACGTACTTACCAGAATACGGCATATCTATGGCCAAAATATATCGACAAATACAACTTCCATAAACACATCATTTTAATCTCACAAATATTTTCCGTTAAAATGTAAAGGTAATTCCACGTAAATTTACATACACGTTTAAATTGATCACGTGGTATTTATAAACTCCTGCATGTAGTCGGTGAACCCATACAATACAGTCACGCAGCGTATCGATAGTCGCGATTGTCCTACTATAAATCTTGTAAACTATAAAACACACGTACGTACTTGATAATCAAGATGTATATGACACGCACAGAGTAAAAATAACTCTGTGTGACATGTTAACAAACATAATATAACGTCGAACAAAATAAGCGCGAAAATTTGCTGTCGTCTTGACCTCACTAGGCTACTTATTACTTAAATGAGCAGAAATACTGTCACAGAGCTTCTAATCTTATAAAATTTCCGGGTAATTAATTCCCCAGATACCCCAAATTCCAGAAACATAACACTGACGTTTTAAAACGTAAACAGGAAACAATTTTCTTATCATTTCTATATATATATACGGATGAATCATAATCTTGTGATGGTGGGAGTCAGTATCGGGGACTTCTGAAATAAAATGAAATGAAATGGGGTTTAACGTCCTACCGTTCTGCTCCGAACTGAGCTAATGATGACGGGCATACGCCATACAGTGTGCTATTGGGGAAATTTTGCCCGGACAGCGGCACTACGGCCTACTCTTACATCGAATTCCAACTGTCAAGGGATCTTTTACGTGCACGCCAATGTGTACACGGTACCTCGGTTTTCCGTCCCATCCGAACGACTAGACAGATGTACTTGTCAGGCCCTCCGCCCTGCATCACTGACAAGGGGAACCACGCCGAATGATTTCTGAAATACGCATGGTTAAGGTCTATTGGAGAGAAATGGGGTTTAACGTCCACTCGACACAAACTATTTCATTTCGGGACTAAAACATGATTCAACTTTTTTTCAGTCATTTGCTTGCGCGTATGGGTCTTCAGCAGTGGGAGAAAACCGGAGGACAGGCTTCCCTATTGGTTGTCACGTACATGCGAGTATGGGACAGAAAACCAAGATATCTGTATACATTGGCGTACACATAAAATTAACCCTTAACGGTTAGAATTCGACAATGTCAGGCTCCCACTGTCGTTTGTGATGTGTTACGATAGGATTTCCCTATTGGGTCCACGATCTGGTACGTGTACATACGTCTGGGTATGTTTCGATACGATCAACACGACTGCTACGACTGACATCAATATATGATAAGACATAATAGTATCACCACCATTACTTCAAGATTAAAAGCACGATTTCAATCACAGCACGAATGGTAATAGTGGGAGCCTAGCATAAAAAGAGTATGCTGTAGCGCCGTAAGAAAGGGTAAATAAAAAATGTCATCGACGCGTTTGACTTGTTTTCCATTCACATTAACATGCACGTGTCAATATTCAAAGATGTTTAAATTGTGCTTTTATATGCGACATTTCTGAGAAACAGGAGACATACAGTTGAGGCGGAAATTGCAAATTTTTAAGTTATATTTTTAAAATTTATTAAAATAAAGCCTGAAAATAGATGGTATCCATAAACAGTCCTACCTTGTTAAAGAATAATCCTATTAATCCTATAACTCACTATTGCCAGCTGAGAAATTGGCAAAAATATCATTTTCCTCTTCATTTTCAAACTTTCAAACGTTTGAAAAAAGCTACTCCATGGTGGAGAATAGAAAACAAGGGAGGTAATTGGGAGGTAATTGTGTTATTTCCTGTGTAAATGAGTTTTAAGTGTGAGAATGACACCTATGATCGTATAATTGTGAGTTGACAAACTATTGAGCAAAAGACAAAGAATTTCCGCTTTAACTAACTTATAGATACATTACGTTAGATTCAGATAAAGAGCTGACCTTTCTTGCTATAATAATAATAGTTCAAAAATAGATAATCCAAAATAAATATATTGAAAATTTCATTCAAGTTACTTTTTCGCTGTTTGTAGTTTTGACAAGATGTGCGCATTGATTGTTTATTATCGTAACCAGGCCCGTAGCCAGCTTGCTGGCTGCGGAGGGGCAGTGAAGTTTTTAGGGGGTGGGGGCACATGGCATAGTCTACAGTAGGTATTTTAGAGCTATGGTCATCAATTTTTTTTCGGGGGGGGGGGGGGCAAAACATTTTTTCAGGGGGCTCCCCCCCCCTTGCCCCCCGCTGGCTACGAGCCATGGTATTGTATATTCGAGATTTATCGTGGCTTCTCCATTTTTAACTTAAAATCGCCGAACCATTTTAATCTAGTTAAAATCTCGAGCATCCGATGGCATCGAGGGTTGATTATGGGTTCTGACATGTTAATAATTATGTCTAATTAATAATTTATATAACATTTAAGACCCAAAGAATGCCCTGCAATAAGCAAATTTTGCTCTTGAATAAAGTATCTTTAATACTGATTTGTCAATATATAAAATGTTATAAATTCTCAACAGGCACAATCAACAGTATATTTGTATAAGCTTCAATGATCTAGAATAGATATCTGGGTTCTTTCTTTCTGATATCTTTTTGCCGCTAATGGATGCAGGGCAAGAGTTCCGATGGGACGAAAATCCGAGGTCCCGTGTACACATTGGCGTGCACGTAAAAGAACCCATGACAGTTGGAATTCGATATTAGAGTGGACCGTAGTGTCGCTGACAAGGCAAAATTTCCGTCATGCCCACCTTCATTAATATCCCGGTATCGGAGCAAAACACGTTATTTAAACCCCATGTCATTTTCATTGCCGGGAATGACATTTGGTCAATAGTTCAGAAACATATGCAGCGGGAATATAAATATCACAAACTGCTTAAATGTAACAAGTTACAAAGTGCACTTTTTATTCCGGTTTGCCATGTATGTTGTAGTATAATTCAGAGCCTTATAAATCTATGGTCAAAAATTTAATATCGAAAGGAACAGTCTAAGGGAGGCAACTCCTTTTTCAATGTCGTAAATATTTTCCAGAGAAATGGTCATGAACGATAAAGCGTTGGGGTTTTTTTTTGGTCAAACAGTTATCCTTTTTTGTGACATTGTTTACAATTTAAGAAATTGAAACTAAGTAAATATTGCTCTAGATATCGTTTCCCAGCTCTTTATCGACTACGGTACCTCAAATGGTGTCAGAATAAGAAATAAACAAAATTATAATATGGAGACATCGTACGTACGTAGACGTTAACAGTTAATCTGGGTACATTAATATTGACATGCTCTACTTGAAATCAACAAATAATTAACTACAATTCAGTTTTAACAATTTCTAGTCAGCGTAGAAGAATTAAAGGGAATTAAAAAGAAGTCTGGCAAAATATTTTACACGACACTTACAGTTACAGGTGAGGCTGGCTTGTTTGTATCGCTAGCAGATCTAGAGGATGACGAATGTTGTGAATTTCAATTCATTATATCTTTGTAAATACTGAATGGAATTTATCCACGCACAGTACGTTGATCCGGCTACTCTAGGGTTAGGGTTAGTAGTAGGATTAGTAGTAGTAGAAATCTTGTGAAATCGTGTATAAGTCAAAAGTAGCCGGGTCAACGTACTAGGCCTTTATCCATTTTTGGAGACTATCAATGACATAGAGCAGGCTACATGTTATCATGTATCCAGTTGGATTGCTCTTAAATTGATATAGGGCAATGGGCCTGCGAGATGACATTTGAACTACGGTAGCGCCACTACCAGAATTACCACCATATTGGAATGACATACACAGAGAAAATACATTCAGTTATTTCAAGCTGTAGAAGAAACCATCTCATCTGTTAATCAGACTACTAGGCCTTACCACCGTTTTGGCCTCGAACTACGCTCTAATCCTATATATGCACCTAAATGAGCAGAAATATTGTATCAGATCGAGCTTCTAATTTTATCAAATTTTCGGGTCTCCCACCAAACTTGACATTGTTTCCACTGGAATTACATGCCTGTCAAAAAACTTGTGAAACAATAGAGCAATCCAATGTTTAGTAGGCCTATTTATTTGTTCAACATACACATATCTTTTGTTCAAATCCTAGAATCACAATTTTATCCAGATTGTTTGAAATTATCACCCGTTATTTCGGACCATCTGCTACTCCTTAACCAACCTGATCACCATTCAAGTTATTCTATAAAGATACATTATGGGAGATTAGATAAAGAGCTGGCAGTTCTAGTTATAATAGTTAAAAACTTGATAATGTAAAGGGAATTTACTGAAAATTTCAATTTAGCCTCGATTGTCATTGTTACTGCTGTGATGATAATTAACAAAGTCTCGATTATCCATTTTTGCGGTTAATCATCAGTAGGCGTTGAACAGCAGATTGGATTCAAATCCAAGGATAATCTGAACCAAAATATTTTGGTACGATAATAAACAAAGTCTTGGTCATCCATTTTACGTTTAATTATCCATCATGAAATGTATTGAAATAAGTAAATATCACAGGCTAGCGATGCCATCTAGAGTAGATTATGGTCTTTTCATGTTAATAAATGTCTAATTAATAGTTTATATAACATTTTAGGCCTAAAGAAAGACCTGCAATAGGCAGATTTAGCTCTTGCATAATATATGTTTAATTAAATAATTTGTTTAACTATTTTATTTACAGGTATGATGAAATTCTGACCGAACTAATATATCATTCACTATTGACAGACATGATACACCCGGAATTTCGTATGGATTGAAACAATTTTATTAGTATGATGGCATCGTTATCTATTGAAATCCCATCAATTACGTCATCTGAAGTTGATGAGGTTTGTCCAGGACCTAATCTAGAATTCCCAAGACTTGAAGAAATGCCATCATATGAAGAATTCTTTACAAATTATCTGCTTCCCAACAGACCGTGTATATTTGGTTCAGCAGTAACATCCAAATGGCAGAGTAGGAAAGATTGGGTCAGCTCTGTTGATGGATCACCACATTTAGAGTTTTTTAAAGAGAACTTTGGTAAATATTACATTTTTAGAATTTAATTTGGTATTAAAGGTCACTGGAAAAGCTTCATAAATCTTTCAAATAATGCAAGTAATTATGTCAACATATCCTTTCCATAAGTATAACACGAACCCGAATGTCAACAGGTAAATTTCAACATTAGTAATTTCCACTGTTCTCCGTGAGTAGTCATAACTTTCTGTCAATAAACAATCCGTGACATCATTTTAGTCCTTCTGCTCATATTCTAGTCTATATTTCTATGGGGAGAAGGACTACAATGACGTCACAGATTGTTTATTGACGGTAAGTTACGACTACTCACGGAGAACGGCAGAAACTAACGTTGAAATTGTTACACAAGTTTACAACCACGGTGGCTCAATAAGTAAGATGTTGGCTCGCTAACCTGGATTTCCTGTGTTCGATATCAGTGTTGTTCGAGATAGTTCATCAGGATTTTCTGGTGTGGTTCCCCCATGTCATTGGCTAACCTTGTCTACACATTGTCGTGCACGTAAAAGAACCCATGGCAGTTGAAAATCCTTATATTAGGCTGTAGTGCCCTTGTTCCAGTAAAATTTCACTCACATCAAAACCATACTGTATGTCTTCATTAGCGTTATTCGAGCAGAACAGTAGGACGTTAAACCTCATTTCATTTCATTTCGTTACACAAATATTATAGAGAACACTAAAATTTTGCTTGTCTGCTCTTTTGAGGCCATAGAATAATGATTTTTATGAGTAGTCAGTAGACGATGGGTTATATATTCAATCTAGTTGGGGGTGTAAGATTGAACATACAATAATTCAATAACTCATTTCTTCTTGATATAATCTTATATTCTGTAACAATACTTAACAATAATAATATATACATATAATACTGACCCACAGGCTAGGTAACTTAATAAGGAACAGCATCTAAGAAATAACTTATCAGAGACCTGCCCTTCAGTATGTCCTCTGCCTGCGTATACTAGCGGATAACCTGGTACTCCCCGGGTTGTGCCCATAGCTCCGAAACTGGAAGTGTTAGGCGAACGCCACCTAGCCTATGTTACTCCCCGGTCACAGCTACCCCTATTCACCAAATTTCAGCTTCGGGACAGCTCTAGTATAGGTACCAACCCTGAACAGACAAACAAACAAACCACAGTGACAAATACTAGTATACATGATTAATGTTATATATTTAAACATATTATGCAAGAGCTAAATCTGCCAATTGTAGGTCTTTCTTTAGGCCTGAAACGTTATATAAACTTTTAATTAGACATTAATTAACCTATCCAGGCCATAATCAACTCTTGTTGTCAATACTAGCCTGCCATATTTTTTGGGGGATTATGATCCGATTTACTGCATAACTTTCATTCTCGATTTAACGATTAAGTGGATAATCAAGACTATGATTTTTGTTGTACCGACTTTATTAATGATGATTGAGGCTATAAAGAACTTTCGATCGCTTATTTCTCGGTTCATAGTGGATCAATTTGACTGAAATTTTCAGCAAATTGCCTTTACATTATCTAGTTTTTAACTATTATAGTGCGAAATGCCAACTCGTTATCTAATATCCCATAATGTATCTTTAAGGTGATATAACTGTACCTGTAGCCGATTGTGGAAAGGAAGAATTTTCATCACATCCTAAAGAAGACATGACTTTATCGGAGTATGTAGATTATCTAGTTCAATATAAACAAGATGGATACCCTGAACATGAACGATGTCTTTATTTAAAAGATTGGCATTTTATAAGGTAGGAATCCATACTAAACTTAAGCTGTCTGTCTATAACTATCCCCTCTTGAGAACAGACACTAAGCTAGTTGACCGACATTTTAATTCCTAAATTGTGAGAAGTATTTATTTTGCTTCCATTTAATAAAATAGAAAAGGTTTATTTAGTCTTTGTGAGTTGTACAGATGTGAAAATGCAGGGTTCCCTCGGTCCTTGAAAATCCTTGAATATCCTTAAATTCAAAATTTCATTTTCAAGGTCTTGAATATCCTTGAATTTCGCGGAAATAGGAAAATATCCTTGAATTTCAGTTGAGATCCTTAATTTTGTTTCAAATGTCTTCAATTCCTTTTAAATATGAGATTATAACGATAGTTGGTAATGTTTTGGTTATTTTTAAGATGAAAAATTGTAACTTTAGGCTAAAAAATCTCCTTGAAAATCCTTGAATTTGACGTATATTTATCCTTGAATATCCTTGAAAAAATGTTTGACGAAGCCGCGGGAACCCTGAAATGGAGTAAAAATGCATAACAGAATAGAATACTAATTGTTGGATATGGCAGCCATTCAGGGCAGAGATCTATTGTTGAAGTAGATAGTTCACTGTGTGTGGAATGTATAAATCCTCTCACACGGAAGTTTGAATTTATAATGAACAGGTCCGACGAAATCGGGGGGGGGGGGGAGATGTTTGTCTTTGGCTAGCTACAATCGCATCCCTCCTCCCCCCAATTTTGTTCAACTGAGTTGTATGAATGCTTTCATGTGGAATTCTGAACTAACAAATGCAATACATGGAGTTTATGGAATGAATCTGACATTAGGCTACATATAAAAAACACTTTTTCTCAGATGTAATGTTTATAGATTTTGAATGGTAAGGCTTTTCATAAATTTGCCAGGAAACAACATGAATGAAACTTGAAAGTCAAAACATGAAGTAATATTTATTCATCTCTATTACAAAAGAGTTATGAAAAGAATGTTAATGTCACTGAGAGATTTATACAGTTCTATAACTAAATATACTACATCAGACAATCCCTGCAAGTGAGTTATTGAAATGAAATTTACCATGTGTTAATTACGAATTGACCTAGTTTGTGTCAAGTGGACGTTAAGCTCCATTTCTCTCTCTCTTTGTACCAAATTGATAATTTATGTTTCACTGAATTAGGAATTTTTGGGGGGTTGGATGGCTGAATGGTTAGCGTGCGCGCGCTGTATCATAAAGTCTGTCATTGAGTCGACTGGCGTGGTTTCGAATCCCCGGTTCTACGTGACAAGGAGTAGGGTCGCCTGTCCAACCTCGTGGGTTTTCTCCGGGTCCTCCGGTTTCCTCCCACTGATAAAGACCCCTACGCGCAAGCGAATTATTAAAATAAAATTGAACCATATGTTAGTCCCGAAATTACCTAGTTTGTGTCCAGTGGAATTTAACCCCATTTCTTTCTCTCTTTGTCCCAAATTGATAATTTATGTTTCACTGAATTACTTTATTCATGATAATCCATTTTCCTTCCAGAGATTGTCCAGATTATCATGCTTACACAACTCCAGTTTATTTCTCGTCTGATTGGTTGAATGAATTCTGGGATATTCGAGAACGAATACACGATGACTATAGATTTGTTTATATTGGACCAAAAGGTTCTTGGTAAGGTAATGTCTTAACTGACACTGTTAAACATATATTATACAAGAACTAAATCTGCCTATTGTAGATCGTTCTTTAGGCCTGAAATGTTATCTAAATTATTAATTATTTATTTAATTTCATCTATTTTGGCTATATCAGATAATTTTATCCACAAGAATTTGAAAATGAGAAGAAATACATTTAACATTAAAAATTTTAGCTACGGTACATGACAAAGGAAGTATGAATGTTTTGGAGTATTTTACATGATAGAAGGCATAATGTTTAGGTTTGGATTCTCAGAATTCTGTGGGGGTTGGATGGACGAATGGTTAGCATGTGCGCACTGTATCATGCGTTCTGTCATTGAGTCAACTGGCGGGGTTTCGATTCCCCAATTGTACGTGACAAGGAGTAGGATCGCCTGTCCAACTTTGTGGGTTTTCTGCGGGTCCTCAGGTTTCCTCCCACAGCTAAAAACCTCTACGCGCATGTGAATTATTGAAATAAAATTGAACCATATGTTATTCCCGAACTCTCTCTCTCTCTCTCTCCTCTGCATGTCATGTGCTAGTCATCATTAGCCCAGTTGGTGCAGAAAATGTTAAACCCCATTTCATTCATTATTTCATCTATTTTGGCCATATCAGATGGAAGCATAAAGGTTTTTGAATATTTTACATGATAGACAGCAAAATGTTTAGGTCTGGATTCCCAGAATTTTGTAGTTGATGCACTTGAGTTTATATTTGATATTATTTCAGGACACCATTTCATGCTGATGTATTCCGATCTTACAGTTGGTCAGCTAATATATGTGGTCGGAAAAAATGGATTTTCTTCCCACCAGGTGAGTTGTGTCAAAATAACATAGAGGGGGAGCCACGGTGGCAAAATGGGTAAGACTCTGGCTTGCTAGCCTGGAGATCGCGGTGTTGGCCGAGTCTTCCAGTTTCCTCTCCCACTGATAATAAATGGAACTATATGGTAGTCCCTAAATGACCTGGTTTGTTTGGAGTCGTTGGATGGGACGAAAAACCAAGGTCCCGTGTACACATTGCCATGCACGTAAAAGATTCCTTGGCAGTTGGAATTTGATATAAGAGTAGGCCATAGAGCCACTGTCCGGGTACAATTTCCCATCCGAACAACTAGACAGCTGTTCTTGTCAGGCCCTCCGTCCTGCACCCGACACACGGTAGCATTCATGTTTTGAATAATATTTATAGATGGACCTGTTTCTGAAATAGGAGTATCTGGTTGCTTTATGCAGCATTAAAGACAATTTGAAATAAGAATATCTCAATGTTTCTTTTAAGGTGGGGATCACGGTGGCTAAGTGGGTAAGACGCTGGCTCGCTGGCCTGGAGATCCCTGCATTGGCCGAGATAGTTCATCCAGATTTTCCAGCGTGGTTCTCCCTTGTCAGTGATGCCGGATGGAGGGCTTGACAAGGACAGCTGTCTAGTCGTTCGGATGGTACGAAAAACCAAGGTCTCATGTACACATTGGTGCACACATAAAAGATCCCTTGACAGTTGGAATTCGATATAAGAGTAGGCCGTAGTACCGCTGTCCGTGCAAAATTTCCCTCATAGCACACTGTATGGCGTATGCCTGTCTTCATTAGCCCAGTTCGGAGCAGAACAGTCGGACGTTAACCCTATTTCATTTCATTTCTTTTAAGGCGAAGAGGAGAATTTGAAAGATAAATTTGGTAATTTAATGTATGATGTCAATGCAAATATTGATCCATCTCGATATCCAAAAGCAAACCAAGTTCACCAAAAGTTAGAAGTTATACAAGAATCAGGGGAGATAATCTTTGTGCCTAGTGGTTGGCACCATCAAGTTATAAATCTAGAGGATACAATTTCTATTAATCATAATTGGTTAAATGGTTGTAGTGTGAGGAGATGCTGGCAGTTTATTAAATCATCATTAGTAGATGTTGAAAGAGAGATTGATGATTGTAAAGACATGGAGAATTGGCATCAACAATGTCAGGTGAGAGTGAGAGAGAGAGAGAGGGAGGAGAGAGAGAGAGAGAAGAGAGAGAGAGAAGAGAGAGAGAAAAGAGAGAGAGTGAGAGGACCCAGAGAAAATCCACAAGGTTGGAAAGACAGCCCAAATCCTTGTCATGTACAAGTGAGGAATCAAATCCACGCCATTTGACTCGATGACAGAGCTTACGATCTAGCTTAAATCATTCATTCGGCCACAACACAAAGGGTCCCAACAAAACATAAAGATAGAGGAAGAAATGGGGTTTAACATCCACTTGACACAAACTAGGTCATTTCGGGACTAACATATTTCAATAATTCGCATGTGTGGTAGGGGTCTTTAGCAGGGGGACGAAACCGGAGGACCCGGAGAAAACCCACAAAGTTGGGCAGGCAACCGACACCACTTGACTCAATGACAGACCTTATGATCTAAAGCACCCATGTGACACCGTTCAGTTAACCAACTCCCCCACTGTCAGGTGAGACAGAAATGAAATGAAATGGGGTTTAACGACCTACTCTTCAGCACCAACCCCGGCTAATGAAAACTGGATGGCCTACGTCTGTCTTCATTCGTGTCTGTTTTCAGTAGCCGTGTTGGTGCAGAAAAGTAGGTCGTTAAACTCCATTTTAGAATAATCAGACCCCTTATACACAAGCAAATAATTGAAATAAAATTGAACCATATGTTAGTTCCAAAATGACCTAGTTTGTGTCGAGTGGACATTAAACACCATTTCTCTCTCTTTCTTTCTTTAGAACATATAAAACTTTAGAACTAGAACTAGTAAGCGTATTATGACCTTGTTTGTGGACATTAAACCCCATTTCTCTCTCTCTTTCTTTCTTTAAAACATTTAAATCTTAAGAACTAGTAAACATATTATGAAGTATTTTGTTTTTGATTTCAGATAATATTAAAAGCCAGTGGTGGTGTAGATTATACAGAATTCTATAAATTCATGTCAACCATCGCAAGACATAGAATTACAGCTATAGAAAACTGTATAGAAAATACAAATACAAAACAAACAGTAACAGATCGCACTATTTTACCGACTTGTGATACCTCCGCTAATAACGACTCCACAGATACAAAACAAACAGACACAGTTCTTCCCCCTAATAGTGCTAATAACTGTTCCACAGATTTGCAGTCACTAGATAAAAATAGTTCAAAAAATAATCAAGGATTTCAAATTTTAGATTTGTGCAAAACAGCAAAACCGTGTGAAAATAAAGTTTACGATAAACGTCATTGGAGATATTTAAATATTCATCATGGTGTTTTTGATTTACGGAGAGTTAAAGACATTTTGATTGACATGTCACAAGATTTTAATTTTCAACAGATCTGTAATAAAGAACTGAATTCAGATGAATTATTGACTGAGATAAGTTGTATTATAGATAAAGTCACTTAATTTCCTATAATTACAGACAAATAACAATAAGAATCGAGGGGGTGGATCAGTGATTCCTAACCAGTGTGCAGGGGCTCACAGGTGTGCCGCAAGATCTTCCTAGGTGTGCGGCAAAATTTTGAATGGCACACCAAGACAATGTGAAAAACCATGTGATCCCAATTGAGTATTGACTGGTGTCTACTGATAAATTCATAGCTGTGTTTTTCTTTATTTAGTTTGAGTCATTTTATGTGTCTATGACTAGTCTATGTCTACGGTTGTATGCCGTCTATGACTTACCATGCTTTTATTTTGCAAAGTTCAAATATTTTTTATATATATTTAGCCAGGTGTGCCGCTATTTTTTCATGTGTTTCAAAAAAGGTTGAGAACCACTGGGGTGGATGGTCGAGTCTAACACTCCCTTAAAAGAGTAGCAGCAGAGGCTGGACCGGCTGGTAGTTCTGTACGTGTGGCTGCTGAATCAAACGATGACACCAGTGAGAGAGCAGACAATAACAGATATTTAAAAATCCCTGAACAACAGAAGTACAAACCAGGGCCCTCAAATAGGCGGAGTCTGAAGGGGGGCATATGCACGGGGGTGACACTTCTTGGGGGGCAGCCAATTATTCTACTAGCCTCCTTGGAGACTGCAATAGCAGGGTTGGATGGCCGAATGGTTAGCATGTGTGCGCTATATCATATGGTCTGTCATTGAGTCAACTGGCGTGGTTTCGATTCCCCGGTTGTACATGACAAGGAGTAGGGTCGACTGTCCAACCTCGTGGGTTTTCTGCAGGTCCTCTAATTTCCTCCCACTGCTAAAGACCCCTACGTGCAAGCGAATTATTGAAATAAGATTGAACTGATGTTAGTCCCGAAATGTTACATGAAATGTCTTTTACCTGAAAGCATTATGAAGATGAAATGAAATGAAATGGAGTAGAAGTCCTACTATTATGGAGATCTGCATTTGTACTGCTGTTGATCAGGGATTTTTAAGTAATCTACTTTTTTACAGCTTTTAGTATCGTTAGAAATCTACTTTACAGCTTTCAGTATCATAAGAAATCTACTTTACAGCTTTCAGTATCGTAAGAAATCTACTTTACAGCTTTTAGTGTGTTGATGGTTAGTGCAATAAGACCCCCCAAAAAATAACTGTGTTTACAGTTATTTGACCTCCATAAATAGGTCGATCGGTAAACCAGTTTTTAATTATTATTTTTTTCCTAGTGTTTGTATAATCTATTTCCTAGCATTTCTAATTGAATTAAAGTGTTGGATTTTATCATGAGAAGAAATCACCTAGACCGAATTATAGCAATCTTATTAAAATACAGATCCTATTTCGTTTCGTTTTTAAAGTTCAAAATTTCGTTTTACTTGTCTTTACTACACTTGGATCTGGAAGAGTTGTTATTTAACTCGTGTTCTGAATGGTGTCAGGGATAAGTCAATGAAAGGTCTGTTACGGCGAGCTTTAGGCGTGTTTTGCACGGTACTGTGGGTAATCCACTAGTAACAATTGGTTAATCAAATGTCTGACATCATAAGGTCATAAGTCGGTCTTTTGACCCCTGACGTGACCTATCACTATAACTTGTCAGATCTTCATGTAGTGTAGGCCATCGAAAGTATAAAAAAACAAAACGAAATATAGATCTGTATTTTAATCAGATTGAGAACGAATTATACCAATCTGATTAAAATACAGATCTATATTTCGTTTTGTTTTTTTATACTTTCGATGGCCTCTACTACAATCAGCATTGATGTTTCTAGGAGGTTACCCATAGTTTTGTGCACCTCACGCCAAAAACTCGCCATAACAGACCCTTTGATTGGCTAATCCCTCACATCATTCAGATTGCATGTTATATAACAACTCTTCCAGATCCTATTGTAGTAAAGACAAGTAAAACGAAATTTTGAACTAGAAAAAAACGAAATGAAATAGGATCTGTGTTTTAATCAGATTAGAGTTATAGGGTCTAGGAAACAATTTTTCTGTAAATTACATGAATAAAAAATTATTTATTGTCATTATTTGTTGTATTATCTTTGAATATTAGTTACTATGGGTTAGGGTAGGGCCTACTGCTTGTAAATACCCATAGCCTGAATTCAAATATGGTATGAACAAGTCAGTCTGCCTTTATCTGCTAGATCACTTATTTACAATATAAGCTGGGGTTGGGTAGCTGAATGATTTAACACACACATGATTTAGATCATAAGGTCTGTCATTGAGTCAAGTGGCGTAGTTTCAATTCCATGTTTGTATGTGACAACCTCATGGGTTTTCTCTGGGTCATTCAGTTTTCTCACCCAGTTGAAGATCCCTACTCGTAAGCAAATTATTGAAATAAAATGGAACCAGAATGTTAGTCCCAAAATGAACTAGTTTGTTGAGTGGACCGTAAACCCTATATTTTCTTTCTCCCCCTCTTGATGATCCAACCTCAGGGGTTTTCTCTGGGTCCTCCGGTTTCCTCCCGCTGCTAAAGACCCCTATGCACAAGCGAATTATTGAAATAAAATTGAACCATGTGGTAGTCCCGAAATGACCTAGTTTGTGACGAGTCTAACAGATCGTAAGGTCTGTCAAGTTGCGTGGATTTGAGCCCACACGACGTACGTGACATGGAGTAAGGTCACATGGCCAGGCTTGTGGGTTTTCTCCGGGTCCACCGGCACTCACTGCGCAAGCGAATTATTGAAATAAGATTGAACCATATGTTCGTCCCAAAATGACCTAGTTTATGTTCAATGGACCTCTCTCTCTCTCTCTCTCTCTCCTCTCTCTCTTTCTCTCTCTCTTGATGAATTCACATCATGGAGACTACTGCGACTCTGGGTAGGAATAAGAGTTTAAATTCTGTAATTACACACTGATTAAACACTCAACAGAATCCCTAAGCTATTCCACTTTAAGACTAATGCAGTAAGCATATCAAAGACTAATCACACAGTTTATTACTAAGGATTAAACATACATTATGCAAGAGCTAAATCTATCTATTGCAGGTCTTTCTTTAGGCCTGAAATGTTATATAAATTATTAATTAGACATTAATTAACCTATCCTGGCCATAATCAACTCTCGGTGACATCGTTAGCCTGCGATTTTTACTGGATTTCAAGACATTTCATGATGGATAATTAAACGTAAAAATGGATGACCAAAACTTTGTTTATTATTGTACCAAAATATTTTGGTTCAGAGCGAAGCAATTTGACTGAAATTATTTTCAGTATATTCAATCTGTTTTCATTATCTATTTTTTAACTATTATAGTGAAAACTGTTAGCTCTATCTAAATCTTAATTAATGTCCCTTTAATAATGTTTACTGTTAAACTCTAGTTGGGACGAAACATCAAGGTTCCCATGTGCACGTAAAAGAACCTTTGACAGATGGGGATCATGTGGCTAAGTGGGTAAGACGCTGGCTCGCTAGCCTGGAGGTCGGGTGTTTGATCCCTGCATTGGCCGAGAAAGTTCATCCAGATTTTCCGGCGTGGTTCCACCTTGTCAGTGATGCAGGAGGGAGGGCCTGACAAGGACAGCTGTCTAGTCCTTCGGATGATATGAAAAACCGAGGTCCTTTGTTTACATTAGGATGCACGTAAAAGATCCCTTGACAGTTGGAATTCGATATAAGAGTAGGCGATAGTGCCGCTGCCTGGGCAAAATTTCCCTCACAGCACACTGCATGGCGCATGCCCGTCTTCATTATCCCAGCATAGGAGCAGAACAGTAGGACGTTAAACCCCATTTCATTTCATTTCCTTGACAGATGGAATTCAACATAAAGATAGGTTGTAGTGATGCTGCCCGGACAAAATATCCTTCATAGCACACTGCATGACTTAAGTCCCATACTGTATGGTGAATGCCCGTCTTTATTATCTAAGTTAGTAAACGAAACAACATAAAACTAATGATTGGTGGTGTAATGTTAAAGGGAAATAACTCTTCATGTCATAAATATTGCAAAAGCAATATTGCTGAAGAACTCCGTGATCATAATAATTATGTCGAATTCTTGGAGTTAAACCATTTTATTGAAATTATATCCAATTGGATAATATTTCAAATTCACTTATAAGCATGTCAGCTTAGGCCAGATGACAAAAATATTTGCAAAATGAAAGTAGGCCTGGTCAATAAAATGTATTGATTATATGACAAGAAAGTATTTAGGTTAAATAAATATTGTAATATATGGCCTATTGTAATATTAAACAATATAAAATCAACATGTGGTATTATACTAGGTTAATCGCTGTTTGCTATTTCTCTGAGATTTCCGCTGGTCAGACTAGGCCGTAGCAACATAGTCAAAAAGGGGATATCCTAGATAGAGAGAGGGAGAGAGAGAGAGGGGGAAGGAGAGAAAAATGGGGTTTAACGTCCACCCGACACAGGCTAGGTCATTTCGAGACTAACATATGGTTTAATTTTATTTCAATAATTCGCTTGCGCGTATGGTTCTCTAGCAGTGGGAGGAAACAGGAGGACCCGGAGAAAACCCACGAGGTTGTACAGGCATCCCTACGCCTTGTCAAGTACAACTGGGGATTCGAAACCACGCCAGTTGACAGGCCTCATGATTCAACGCGCACGTGCTAATCACCCCCCCCCCCCCCCGATAGCCTAGTTAGCCTAGTGGTCTAGAGGGTCGATTTTGAGCTCGAGCTGGCCTATAATACCCGGCTTGCGGTTATGATTTCGAACCTTGATGTGAGCGTATATATCTACTCCGGGTACTCAGGTTTCCACCCACAGGCAATACGTAGGCCTACCCCCTGCTCTAAGCTTAATAATACAATTAGTCAACTTATCTCGTTAAACACCGACGAAAGAAGAACCCAGCATTTCATCGCATACAAACAGTATCTAGTCGTTCTGATGGGTTTTAAAAAAAACGAGGTCCCTTATACACGTAAAAGACCCAATGGCACTGTAATTCGATATAAAGAGTGGGCCTTAATTGGTTCTGCTGTCTCCATAGCACACGGTATGGTGTATTCATGTTATATGTTTAGTGCTGTACTAAAACAGAAATTAAAGCCGTATTAAAATAATATGATACATGTTTTGTAAAACATACTGGTCAACAATTCAAAGTTATGTAATCCCCCCACCCCTACCCAAGAGCTGTTATGAACACCGCAGATATTGAAATGTGGAAGCAGCATTATCTTCATGTTGCAGGGGAAATTGGAAGATTTAATTCCTAAACGCTTGCAGCTATTTCTCACGTGGCAATAACAGACAAGGGTCAAGATGGGGTCATCAATTTAAATACAATCGTGTCTGCCAATGCTACAATTGGCAGCTACTGGCCCTGGGCCAATATTTTACAATGATCGTCACGATAGTCGATAGAATGATCAGACAAATCTGTAGTAGTCATGCAATATCAATCATAACAAGGCTTATTATAAATTCTACTATATTCTCCCTACTTTCTATGATTAACTTCTATTTATGTTTATGGATGTTTATTGTATATCACTTTGTTTATTGATGTTTATTGTATATCAATTTGTTTATGTTTATGGATGTTTATTGTGTAACATTTTATTTATTTTTATGGATGTTTATTGTGTATCACTTTGTTTTTTATGTTTATGGATGTTTATTGTGTATCACTTTGTTTATTGATGTTTATTGTGTATCACTTTGTTTATGTTTATGGATGTTTATTGTGTATCACTGTTTGTGTTTATTGGATATAGCTTTAAATATTTGATCTAAAAGGTTTAACAATTAACAGATTATTTGTGAAATTAAGAGAGAGAGAGAGAGAGAGAGAGAGAGAGAGAGAGAGAGACGTCCATTCAATACAAACTAGGTCATTTTGGGACGAACATATGGTTCAATCTTATTTCAATAATTCGCTTGCGCGTAGGGGTCTTAGAAGTGAGAGGACCCGCGAGGTTGGACAGACGACCGTACCCCTTGGCACGTACAAACAGAGAATCGAAACCACGACACTTTACTCAATGACAGACCTTAAGATCAAATCTCCCGCGTTAAACCGTTTTTTTGGGATTGAACCCCATTTCTGTCTCTATCTCTCTTTCTCTCTCCTATAAGATCGTTGATGATGAGTTGATTCAGATGACATCGGCTC